GATCTTCTTTTTACTAAGCAAATTATGAATTTGCGCTACGTTCTTCAACATTTGGCACGCTCGATTGTTATTGCTTCTAAGTATCTCTCTAAGTTCTGTATAATTTCGTATGATTAAGTAATTGATATATACATATAAGCTTGCTGCAGCAAATTCAACGAGAATTATATTTTTAATTGGAATAATTGGAATGTCTGGCAATGATTTTGTAACATGCGTAATTTATTTTTATAAGGGATTACACTCCGAACATTTCTAAAAATAATTCACTTGAAAGCAATAAATGCATTCTTACATGATTTTGATTTGACTTTTATTCATATAAAAAAGCTACGCTAATACTGTATATTTCAAAATAATGTAAAAATATTTTATTCATTTCTCAGAAGTTTTCTCTTCGAATCACTATTTATATTACAACGCAATTATTTTCTCCTGATAATCTCCTGATAAAACATTAGTGAGTCTACTCTTCTTTCTAATAATATTTACATATGCAAGAAATCGAAATATTATATATTACATACTAACAGTGCTTCTTTATCATTTGCTTATATTTTTATAGCAGCAGTTAATTTAATTTTAAGTTATATTGCTTTCAATGAAAACGATACTTTTATTATTCAAAGATTACTTACTTTTCTCAACTCTTCCCTTTTTAATTCCATTATTGGCAGTGCTGTTTTGATCAACTTTAAATACATTGTTTTGCAATGTATCACTAGTTAAAAACAAAATCGTATTTTGATTTCCATTCTGTTTTATATTAACAGCTTGCATATGTTTATTGAAAAGTGTGAATTTTTGCCTTTTATTTAATTGCTTTCTTGGTTTAATTTGTGGAAGTATATTGATGCACTTATCTTGAACTATTATACTCGCAATGGGTTCATTATGAAGATACAAGCGTTGTTCCATTGAATTCGATGCTTTTTTACCCTCCTCAGAGATAAAGTTCGAGGATGGTGTGACTCGATTATTTATCAAATTTGTAATAACTGTTTGATAACTGTGCAGTTGGTTATCTGCTTGTATCGTACAACTTTCGTCTTGATCTGCTGAAGTATTTTGTACCGACATTACTTTGTCAGTAACTACATTTACATCTTCCAAAGCATTTAAACTTATCAGCTCCTCTGACATAGTAACTTCATGGGTCAGCTCATCAAACGATTTACAATTAAGAGTGTTAATATCACTGTCCTGTTTCTCATATCTAATATCTTCCTGAGTAACTATTATGTGCTTATCTTTATTTGTGTCATTTAGCTTAGTACGTGTGCTTGCTTGCAGTTCATCCACAGCATCATTGGACCCAAAATCAAAATAATTTTCTTCGTTATCGTCAGTTATCTGTGCGCGATTGTTAAGCTGTTGTTCCGACAATTCGAAACTTTCATCAAGTTCTAAACTATCCGTAGTCACTATATCATTCACGAAATCATTATATTCCACTCGAATATACGGTGACGCCTGATTTATATCATGATAAATTATTTCATGTTGACCAGTACTATTGTGACATACATTATCATCTTCAATCACTTCTAACTTAATGTAAGAAGTACCTTGCAAATGTTGCGATTTATTATGTACTTCGTCTGTGTACTGATCCGACGAGCTGTCTTCATCTTTGTTAGAAGTTCTGTTTCCTATAGGTATTTCAGTCTCTACAGAATCAGTCTTATCTGAATGAGATTCCGGACAAACCTCATAAGTCTCGAAGCAATTCTCAATCACTTTTATCGTGTTGCTCGATTCCCAATTTTTATCGCTATCAGTGTCGTCGTTATTTATAATATATTCTTCTTTAGTTGCACCGCTTTCGTTTTCATAGCGTATAATTGTGTTCGTTGCAGATACATCGTCATCCATTACATAATCCTTATTTATATCATTCTTCTTTTTCCTGTTGGTTTTAACTTTCTGAAAATCTTCTTCAGAAAGATATAACAATTCCCCGGTAGTAGTTAGGACTTTCCCGTGTCTCGTTTTTAAATGCCGTTTATAAGTGTTTCTTGTTTTAAATCTGATCAAAATACGAATGTTCTTTTTAAATATGTTATATTGCACATTTTATGTACTAAATAATATAACAGCGATGTGCTTACCGTTGTCCACAATCATCGCATCCAAATGGTGCTTCGCCGGTATGCCTACGCCGATGCTCTCTAAAATGCGACGGATGTCTGAACTTTTTCCCACAGTCAGCACACGTGAATCGAGTTTGATTTTGATGAATTAGCATGTGATATTTCAAACTATGTCTTCGGGTGAAGACTGCCCTGCATATACGACACTCGTACGGTTTTATTCCCGCGTGACTTCGGTAATGGGACACCAACGTCGTAGGTGCTGTGAAACTTCGTGGAGGATTACATATTCGACATTCAAGATTGTTTCCTGTAGGATTTCCTTTCTTCTTAATGCGTTCCATGAAAGCCAACGCCATTTCCCTTTCCTCTTTACTAGTGCCTATAAACTTCGCTTTTCCTTTAGGTTTAGTAATTGTAATCTCTGTATGTTTGTCATTATCTTCGTTTGACCATGATATATCTAAAAATATTACAAAAAATTAATGTACACATTAATAATAAAGCGTATTTAAATATTTCACAAATTTACCTGGCAAATAAATACCTTCAGATTTTTTATTGCTCTTCTCTGGCAATTTTTTTTTAATATGAGTATACTCTTTCATATGTACACTGTCAGTACCAACGACCATAAGAACAATCTACGTAAAAAAGTATAAGTATCAAGAATTTATTAATTTGAATATATTATAGTCGGACTTACATTCTCATCTGATGTTGTTCCAGGATTATTATTATATGGTGCTTCCTTTTCATTAGGGTTTTCTTCTTTTAAGCGTTCAGAATAACTGTGATCTCCAAAGGTCTTAGAATCTATTATATCCGTATCCTTATCTTCTGCATTATGCACCTTTTTAGAATTCTCTCTCTTTTCAACATTTTTGTTTTTATCCAACTCCTTAAAAGTCGAGTCATTCAGCAGAATACTCCTTAAATAATTTGTTGGCTTTTCCGTAATAATATTCTTGTTTTCCTTATTCAATGTTTCTTGCGGTTTCCTTAACTGTTGGAATCTACCCTTTTTATTTTGGGCGTTTGCTTTGTAACTTTTATGTCCGACTGACTTTGCAATAAACGTTTTATCTATAAAGTCCAATTATCGTGTAGCTATTAATATGTAACGTTGCTTTTTCATGTTAATATGAGAACATTTACTTACAGGCTTCCTTATTGGATTCTAAGTATTCCAAGTGCTCTGCTAAATGAATCTTAATAGACATTCTCGCTCTTTCCTCGCTTGCAAAACTAGTGTACTTCTGGCCACATCCAACAATCAGAGCACATGTATATGAGTATTGCCTCTTCAATTCATCGCTTGTAAAAATGGAAAATAATTTAATCAGTTGAGTAGTAGGCATAGATAGAAGTTGTGGCACATTGAAGGATGATTCATGGCTCTTCCTCTTCACGTGATCTGCCTTCGACTTGCACTGCGGTGGTAGTATCAACAATTTGTTACGTTTCTTTTCTGAATTTAGTGTTTGAGATGCAACTTCTGCAAGCATATCTAACAAAGCAGCAGGACTATCGCTTCCCATAATACCTGAAATTAATATCATTATACCGTTTAATAATTTTCAATTTGACGATCATAATAAATATTTTCTACCTCTATCGTTACGAGTATTAATATTCATGAAGAAATAGCAAATATGTTGATCACATTGCTAATCCTATGACATATAACAGTCTTTTGAAAATTAGTTACCTTTTTTATTAGAAAACAGTAGCGTAAAGTTATTTATTTTCTTAATGCGTAAATCGCTTGGATATTATCAGAAAAATAAGAATTTCTATTTTTTATCAAATAATGCGAAATTATTCTTCAAGCGTCACTCTAGCAGACGCCATAAGGACGCCCAGCAGACGGTTTTTCACAATTTATCTCTACCTTACTTACTGCTTAAAAATCATTGTATATTATATGCTAGCACGTAATCCTATATTAAAAAGACGAGAAACTGCGTTAGTTGTGTATAAAACGAATAAATTAGTACCTTCGTTATATGAATTTGAAGCGTATTCATGATTTGTTTTGGTATTCATTATGGCATTTGTATTCGCGGCGTGTATTCATTCCACTACCTTCTGTGCACAACAGGTTCCTTTTTGTTGTTCTCCTGTTTGTCTTCTTTCTTCTTGTCAATCCTGAAACAGTACTGCCAATAGTGCCAATCTTCGAAGATCTCGCGAGAAAGGTCAGTGAGATTTGTATTATGGATTTGTATATGTATTTTTCTATGATTTCAAATTTTTTCGGGAATTAGTTTCTATATTTTTTATGAGTAGTGAAATTAACAAGTATAATTTTTTTTATTGCTTTCAATGTTTATAATTATCTAAAATGGATACTAGTAAAATACCGATTGTGAAATTAACTGTCCTGTTTGTTTGCTATTAATTTCTATCGTGATTTTAAAGTAATAATTATTCCGATAAAAAAAGTTTATCCGAACTATTTGTGTTTGGTAGGTTTATTAAAGGTAATGCAAAGTTTTAAAGAATATATTCTTAAATACATTTTATTACATTAAGAAGTTTTCAACCTCTTATAAAATAGAATTGTATACATATATATAATACTAATATTTGTATTATAAAAAGATATAATACATACTAAGCTCTGTTCATTTACATTTTAATGTAATTTATTATAACTATCCGCGGATTCGTTTTTAATTACGTCATTGTCAAATATGTCTTTGATAATATCCTGCTTCCTCTTCATGTGAATTGGTAAATTATTCAGTTCATTATCTTTTACTTGTTTTCTACTCGTTACATTATGTCTGTCATAGTCTTGGTTTAGAAATTCAATGTTCTCGTTATCATCTATAGCTTTCATGGACGCTAGTAACTTCTCTTTATTGTAATTAGTCTTCTTTGTTTTGATGTTAATTTCAGATGTAGAGTTAACATTATTTAGTCTAGATTGAACAGAACCATTGCCAGTATTGTCAGTAGGTTGCGAACGTACTGACAGTACATCGATACTTTCAGATTGTTTGTTTAATTCTTGCTTATTTAATTTATTTCTTGCTTCTAAATTATGATTCTCTATACTTTCATCTACTACTAATTGTCCATTACTATGTTCATCCTTGGAGTATGTTTGCAATGATTCATTTCCAAGATCATACTCGGTTGTATCATTATATTCTTGAGTCACATGTACAGTTCTTTTAAATATATTCTTTCCTAAATTTGCTGAGTTCTTGTATTCTGGTTGACTACTTTCCACGTCGTGCTGAACGTAAATATCATTCTCAACATTTTTACTCTGTGCAAGCATCTCATTAACTAAATTTTGATAAAGCCTTTGTGATCCGCTCAAAATGTTTCTTGAAGAAGTCAATTTCTCCACTTCCTTATCAGAATTATAGTGAGACTGATTGTCATATGCAGATGAAATCAATTGATGATCCACTTCCAAATAGTGTTTAATAGATTGTTTTCTCGCTTCAGTTTCTACCTCTGAGTCACTTTCATAAGAATTTGTCCTCTCTCCAACCAAGACTTTTAATTTATCTTCATATTTGCTATCCGAAAATGTCAGTTCCTTTGAATCAGAAGTGTCATCTGCGCTGCTAATTAATCTAAGATATAACAACGTTAATTTCTAAGTGGAAATAGAATCTAAAAATTTAGAGAAAAGAATGATTCAAATTTTACAAACCTAACACGCATCTGTTTAGAATTCTTCTTTGCAATTTTATAACTATCTTTGAAATTCTCATTTTCACTTTCACTACCACCAGACGAATATACGAGTTCCTTTTCTAATGATGTATCAAAATTCTCGTATTTTCGGTTTTCATATAGTTTCCTAAATTTATTCGCAGTTATTTCGTACTTTTGAGCGTCTTCGCCTTCCTTTTCTCGCAGAGAATCACCTAAGGCCGTTGAAGTATCTGACGCTTCTTTCGTTTCTAAATCTAATTCTTTAGATGTTTCTCCAGCATTGTCTATCTTTCTGTAAGGTGATTTCTGAAGGCGGTATTTTCGCACTTGCTCCAAGTTTGCCATTGTCTCTGTCTTTAAACCGTCTAAAGTTTGACTCAAATTCACTTTCTCCTCTGTATTCATACTTTTACTTTCTGCATCAGGTGTACGAAGTAAAGGCTAAGGAACATGAAATTAATACAAAGTATTTCTTTAAATGATATAAATACTAATAAGATTAAAATTTACCAATTTGTCTTCTTGAATTTCCGTTTGCCATTTCTTGTCTTTATCCGGTAATTTCAGAGGATTCGACGAACTAGAAAAGCAATTAATGTAAAAAAAAATTGGTCAGAACTTAAGCCAATACTTTATATTTCACATACCTAATATCTCTTAAATTGGTAAGAGATCGTGTACCGAAACGTCGATTTTTCTCAGGAAACAATTGATCGTTATAATATAATCTTCGTTCTCTATTATCTAATAAATTTTCCAGGCCTTTCAATTTTTCTGTGGCATCATCTAAATTCTTTTGCGTTTCTTTCCGTTTAGAAATTTCCGATTGTAATTGCTGTTTCAAGCTCTTAGTTTCGAGATTCAGTTTTCTATGTAATGTCTAATAGAATAGTTTAACATTTTAATTTTATATTAAAAATTGTATATATTAATATTAAATTTTGAGTTACCTGTATCGTATCTTGTTGTTGTTGTATTTTGTGATTTAAATCGGAAACTTGTAATTGCAGCTTCTCCCTTTCCCCCAAATTACGATCTTTACTGAGCTGCAACAAGTGCTTATTCTGCGCCTAGAAATGCGGCTTGCTAATTTTTTATTGTCTGAAATTGTTACAGTAACATTTACCTGTAACTGCTGAAGCTCGTTTTCTTTTTCTTTCAGTAAATCGCAAGTTTCCTTCTGCAAGGCTTTTAATTTCTTATATTTAATATGAAGCACTCTCAGCTCTTCATGATGGGTATTGATAATCCGTGGAAGTTCCGCGTTCGTTCCTTCGTAACGTTTCAACGCTGAATCTTGCCTTTTCTGCAACGATTTTAACAATTTGTTCTCATTTGCCAATTCCTGCGAAAATACATAATTGTATTCAATACGCCTGGAATTAATAATATACACTTTGTAATGCATACACGAATTTTAGAGAAATCTCTATTTTATATAGAACAATACTTGAAACTATTACATTTAATCGGTAATGCGCATCGGCTAATTGATTTTGCAATTCCTTAATTCGTAACATTTTCACAGACAGAACTCTCTGTTCGATGCTGTTTTTATTAAGTTTTGATTGCTCCGAAGAATAACAGGGTCGAACATTATTTTGGTATGGTCGTCCTACACATTAAATGTTGATATATGATTTTTAATAATTACCAGAAAGATCGTAATTCAACAAACATTTTTTCAAATACTGTAGACATGACATCTTTATTATTTATGAAATGTTGATACCAACCAAGTAAAGGATGCAAATTCTTCTTCTTAGTTGAAAAATATGTTACATTTTTATGAGGTGTATTAACTTTCGTTTCCACTGCTGGTCTTCCTAAGTTAGAATTTTGTTTTCTGTAAACATGTATAATTTTTTAAAAACACTGCTTCTACTAGACATAATTCAGAACACTGACAGACATAATGACAGTAAGAATAATATGAATATAATTCGTAGAATACAAGTTATCACAATATTTATAGAACGTTTCTTCATTGCTGTGATTACCTATTGAGATTTTTATGGGCATTGTAATGTACTACAGGTAATGTAGGTACTTCAGTTTGCATTTTATATTTGCAACTTCTACATCACAACTAACATGGTGCTTTTATAACAACAAATTATAATATCATTGTCCAAACTTATTAAAGACTGTATTAGCATCCATAGTTGTTTTTAACCAGTTACCAAGGTAACAGGTGCACAACATTCTCTAATCAATGGTGCTTGGGATTCTGGTGCTGTCTAGTATTCCGAATATTCTGGTTTTATAAAAAGAACATTTTATAAAAAAAAAATAATAAGCATAGTTCTTTATTTTACTCAGTACTTTTATCACAATTTTATTAATGCTCATTTAATTAAAAGCAAATTAAGAAACTAAATATATACATATATATATAATTTATTATCATATAAATAAACATGCGCACCGCACATGCATCGCTATATTACAAGTTTTTCGTTAATATCATTACTCGTATCATTTTCTGGCGCTACTTATACCACACAGGATACAGTAATATAAATAATGACTTCTCTTTTTTACTATATTTCAGTATTAGATTTGCTCATTTCATATTCATCGTTGTACAGATAATTGTTATCTGCGTATTAAACTCCTGGACCTCTAACATTATTATTTTTTTCTTGAGACTTAATCATTCCTATATGTTGCGTTTCCCAGAGTTTGTTATAAAACGAATTTGGCGTAGCTAGTAAGGAATCGTGCGTTCCTCTCTCGATTAAGCAACCTTTGTCTAATACCAAAATTTCATCTGAATCCATAACCGTAGGCAAGCGATGGGCTATGACAATGGATGTTCGGCCAGTGGTTGCTCTGCGTAATGCCTCAAGAATGTTCTGTAAACGCCGCATCATGCAACAAAAATTTGTTCATCGACATTTAGAATATAAACTCTTTAGGATATAAGGGAAACTTACGTGTTCTGTGATGGAATCTAGGGACGACGTGGCTTCGTCAAAAATTAATATCGGGCTATTTTTTAAAATCGCTCTAGCGATCGCTACTCGCTGTTTTTCACCACCGCTCAATTTTAGACCACGCTCTCCTACAGGCGTGTCGTATCCTTTCGGCCATGTAAGAATAGACTCGTGTAAATTTGCCATTTTCGCAGCTTCATAAACGTCCTCCTTAGACTTACATAAATTACCATAATGAAGATTGTAAAATATACTTTCATGGAACAGAACGGTATCCTAAAATAGTTTAACGATTTAATATTGTAAATATATGCATTGTGGGATTCCCTTCTTAGTCCTAATTACCTGAGGGACGATTGCTATTGACTTTCTTAAGATTTCCAAGTCAATATCTCGTATGTTATGTCCGTTTATGAAAATACCTCCTGATTGTGGTTCGAAAAAGCGATATAGTAATCTCACTACCGTTGTTTTACTAGAACGCATTTAAAAAGTGTACATTATATGATCATGATATATTATTGTAAAATGTGAAACTCACCCACAACCGGAGCCTCCGACAATGGCAATCTTCTTACCACTCGAAATGTTGAAAGTCATATCTTTAAAAATAGGTTTTCCCTCGATGTATTGAAATTTAATATTCTTAAACTCGATATCCGAATTCTTTGACGTTATGTTGAAACGTGTAGCATTTTCTTTAGACTGAGATCATATCATAAAGCATGTTAATCGTCCGTAGGTGAATAACTCTTTAGCCACTATTACATTTAAACAACAAATACCTTAATAGCAGTATCCATCGTCATTAAAGTAAACATTGTTTGCATGTCGATTAACGCTTGTCTAACTTCACGATAGACCGAACCCAGGAATCCCAAGGGAACTGACAATTGGAACAAAAGTCCGTTCACCATCACTAAATCTCCTACTGTCATGGAACCTGCATTCATTCGATTTTTAAAAAATATTAGAATTTACAATTTTCACGTCGTACATATATTTTAAGTAGAAAAAGAATTACCCTCGACTATATTATTAGACGCTAGCACCATTATTAAACTGAGAGCCGCGCTAAATATAGCATTTTGTCCAAAATTTAACATCGCCAAACTGGTACTCGTCTTAAGTGATGCAGCTTCATATTTTTTTAAAGATTCATCGTATCTTTGAATCTCGAATCTTTCATTATTAAAATACTAGCATTAAAGATAATGAATTATTTAATTATGTTAAACGATTTTATTGTACTCGTGAAGGAAAGTGAATTGTTGATGTACCTTTACTGTTTCATAATTGATAAGCGAATCTATCGCCTTGTTGCTTGCTTCGTTCTCAGCCTGATTCATGTACATTCGAAATTTCGTTCGCCATTGAGTAACAGCCAACGTGAATAAAGCGTAAATTCCAACGCAGCCAAGGGCAATAGTCGCATATTCACTACCGCATTGTAAATACAAGACTGTACTGACTAATGACAATTCGAAGACAGTTGGTACAACATTAAATACCATAGCGTTCAATACGAAATTTATACCACGGCTTCCTCTATCTATTGTCTATAAAATAAAATCGATCATATTAATATTTTCACATGACGGAAACGACAATGACGCAAAACAGTCATACTTTGGATAATGCTCCAGTTTGTCGACTTAAGTGAAAGGCCATATCTAAATTATGCAAATGTAAAAATACATTATTAGCTATTCGTCGAATTGAATGTTGCGCAACTTTTGCAAATACAGCGTTTCGCAATTCACTAAATCCAGCCGCTCCGGCCCGTGCAATACCATCTGTTGTAACAAATTAATATCATTGTAAAGTATTGTTAATATCATTTGCGTAATGATGATCTATGTAATGTAGTACGTACATCCAACAAGTAATGACGTAGCCACAGTAGCAACTGTTTCTGGTGCAGTGTCTAAACTTAGGAGAGCGTGACCAGTATTTGCTGCGTGCTGAGTGTTAAGGGTGTCTATTGCATACTTAAAAATAAAAGGGACAGCAACGTTTAAGACTTTTGCACCAACGAGCAAGCTAACAGCTACTTTAACTCTTCTTCGGATGTCAGGATCGTCCTGCAAATATGTAGATATAGATTATTGTAATAAGAATTAAGTATCGAAAGTGACTTACTCTTGGCCATATATATCTAAGCATTGCTTTAATCATATTCGAAGATGTAACCGATTCTTTCTCTTGAAATTCGATACCTTCACGACTTAAGGTAGTTACACCGGGATGGAAACAATCCCGTTTCTGCTGGACCGACTTCCCACCGATGAATTCCGGAAATACCCATGGAAATTTTAACGACGGCAAGAGAGACTTCGACTGTAGTATACTCTTTTTTTTCTGTGCGCGATCAATTACATTCCCACTGCAACACTATAAAAGTAATGAAATTTTTAGTGATCTTAATATTTATTTATTGAAAACATGAACACGCCAATAATGTTTTAAAAAATACTTTATTCAAGATACGTATAGCAAAAATTGAACAAATTTTATTGGAAATTATCAACTTTTTTTTATTAAAATGTTATAAACTATTCCTTATACGTATACATGCTACTTTCTAATTTTAATTTTTCATATGATTATAAGATTCATTTAATATTGTCATATATTCTTCTATAAGATTTATGGCAATTGAAAAGCTTTCTGTACATTGATCAAGGCTTTTCATATTTATAAAATAATTTGTTAATTCATTCCTCTTTAGAGTTAAAATTTGCCTTGCTATACTATGTACGCTTATTATATCCTCTGATTTAAGAGAATTTCCATATATTTTTGTACTCCACTGATCTCTTTTTAAATTTGTATTTATTATAAATAACGTAGACACTGCATTATAATTTAAGCCTTTCCTTGTAAATGCCATATTTTTTTGTAAATGATTAGAGCTAATAAAATCTAACTTAGCTTTCGGAACATCAAAGCAAGTTTGTATATCATTAATATCAAAATAGATTTCGTCTAATGGATTATTTAGTATGATAAAACCGTAGTGAACATACAATTTAAGATTATTGTGTGCACCGTAATTAATGAAAACTTGTGATCCTGAATTGAATGTGTTCAGTGTAGTAATTTGGTAAAATTTATTTCCATTTTTATTCATAACTACTGAGGCACGCGTGGTACTAAAAATATTATGATTAAACAAATCTAAAAATGGAGCCAAGGCTAAGTTATTTGGATGTTTTACGTTAATGGCAACATTTTTATTTGTTTCTATCTGACCCATGTCAATATATACAGCCCTCGTATTAACAATGTAATATGCCCATTTATATTTTTCAAAAGTGATTATTTGATTTAAATGCAAATGACAATGAGGACAGTAAGTTTTTCTTAAATCTAAATTATTCATAGATTTAATAAGTAGCTTAAAATCATTTTGTACTTTATGAAACTCATACATATAATCTGTAATAAACGTTGGTAAACAACTCTTTTCCTTATGTGTACAAAAATCTGGGTTTGTCATGATTTTTGGAAGACTATTAATATAATGATACCAATTTGAATCCTTTCCCAAATGTGACTCGTATAAAATAAATATTGACAGTAAGCACTGAGCACTGTAATGTTCAGTTTCAGAAAACAAAATTTTGATGTTGCTCTGAGACAATACAGATGTTGTTATTAGTATTTCATAAGGCAGTTCAATCAGTACATCATTGGGCTTAATATCCTTCAATGTTTTCAAACCCCTGCCAGTAACAAGAAAATTGAATGGAACTAAGTCGTAAACTGATAAACAGTTTTTTGTTAATAGCCAAGATTTAAGATGCACCAGACTATCTTCTTCACTTTCTGCTTTTTCTTTAATATATAGCTTCTTCTTTTGATGACGCTTTCTTGAAGTTCTACCCATTATGTAAATGTTATATCTGTAGAAGCAATAAAGGAATACTTTGAAGTAATATGCAATTCAATATCACTGAAAGAATTTGTTACAAGGTATGAATTTATTATTAATTAAGGAGCACACTCTGCTATCAGGATAGCACATATTAATATCTTTTGCGAGTCATGCTCATAGCTTAAATATATGCTACAATATGGTTAACAAAATATAGTTAGCAAATATTTGAAACAAGTTGCTACAAATTAAATTAAGAATTATGACGATATTATATATAATTAGGTATGTTACCCTAATTCCAAAGGCAGGATATATCGCGCGAAATGTGGATGTACGAGATAAAACCCCTTCACAATAAATTATTTGCCTTCGAGATTTAATTGTATATGTTGTAAATGGTTTGATCCAAAGTTTCTTTTCATTGTATCCAATCCGTGGCACACGGCGGCATAAAATAATGCTTAACATTATGTTAGAAATATTTACACACAATATTAATATATAAAAATGAAATTCACAAATCAGGTTATTAGATCATAATAGTAGTACGGTGTACGCTACGGTCGAATAACCTGCACTACAAATGTACATTGTACAAGTGTTTTTATTTAAATATAAAGACGCTACCTGGCGCGAGAAGTGCAGAACTAATTGACAGATGTCAGAAATTCAGTAATAATTATTATAGGGAAATGAAGAGTTCGTTCCTAAAAAAATCTTCAAGATTAAATTAGACATTAGACAGCGAATGTTTCAATAAATGAGACATTAAATTAATATTAAGAACAAGTTTTATGGAATTAATTCACAAATCATACGATCATTGTTTATTATATATTCTAATAATTGTCAATATATATCTAGGTGAGGATTCTGTGCTTTGAATATAAAGCACATCCATGGCAGAGAATATAAAATAGTAAATTTTCAGTTTTAAAAAAGACAACGACAATTACATTTATTATGTACCACATTTTTAAGTATCTTATCTATATACATACGCAGCAATGATAAAAAGTATAAAATTTATAGCGAGGAATGTTTGAAATAAATTTATATTTTATCTTATCAGCATGTATAAGACATTGAAATCATACGTCATATATACATACAATAATAATAATAATAATAATATACATATACATATATTTCATGGCCTGATATCAAAAGTTTAACTATTGTTTGTTATAGTGTTAAAAAATGTGGTCTTTATTAGAATTTCTGATATCACAATTCACGTAGTAATTTTATCACCGATCCTTATCACAGGCAGTACATACTTCTAACTGAGGAATTTAAAACCATAATTTTCTCCTGGATATCACAATATCTACGTAATAATAATTTGTTGAATGTTGTAAAAGAAAGTATAAGGATGAAAAAAATGTTAGTAAGTGGGGGAGGAAGTAGTTAGTCAGTAATTTGTGTATTGTTTGCTGTACTGTACTTTGTGATACAGTGGACACTTTCTGAGTTACATACATACATATCTACGTATACGTACGTACAGGAAAAGTCCGTGAAACTAGAAAAAAAGAACTCTAAAATCGAAGAAGCATACGTTCGTGAAGATTCACGTTTAAAATGTCAATGAATTTGCGTTCCTACGGGTAATGGGGTAATGAATATGTGTGAAATTATTACGTAGCAATTGTGTTACTTTGGTGATGCACATATTTTGGACTGGCAAGCACAACAAATGGCTATGACAGCAGTTTAAAGCCAGCAATATTTTCCGTTCGATCTGTTGGTTCGAGAAATCATCTTTGTAATGTTGTAGTTTAACATCAGTTTACTTATTTTCGAAAGTAATCGTTTTGGACTATGTTTTACAATGTTCGATTGAAAGTTTAGAACGTCAGCGGATTTCCATCAAAATCCAAGTATATCTACATTGCTAAAACAAGACTTTGTAACTTTCTAATCGAAATCAATATTCCAATCACCTTGAGCACATACATATTAAACAAAGCTTATGAATACCGAGAGAAAATAAACCACGAAACATACTGCAAAATTGTAGTGGATGTGAATTATTACTATGTTGTGACAAATCGTTTTACGGATGCGACATTCTTAAATTTTAATTTACACACATTGCCCGTTAAATGAAAAGTACTGACATAGATGGGCAGACAGAAGCAAGTAAATACAGCTCTGCTCTGCAACTGTTAATGAAATCAACATTGATAATCAGGGGATGCCCAGCCTACATTCGCTCGTCGTACGACGAGCTCCACTAATGGATATGGGTACAGCTACCAGTTCAGTGACGTCTGTCAATCCTTCTAACAAAGTTGCCAATAATCAGAAAAAAGTTGACAAGTCCAATAAACTCACTGGAGTCCGATTACCTCTGTTACGCAAAGAAGCAAGCGTTGTAAACCTTTCCCTCACTGAGAGGACTGCAGTAGGAAAAGGAGCAGATGCTCCTTTACTCAGACCAGAGAGCAGTGCCAGCTTGAAAGCTCGTGGCAATAGCTGGCTGAGCTTAGGCCCTGGAGTACTAAGAAAATGTGAAACTGCTGTAGGATTGAGTACTTCTGCCCTGGAAGGCAGGCCTATAAATCGAAGCAGAGTCTGTTCTCGCTGTTCCAGTTTGTTATCATTGGCATCTAGTTCACGTTACAGTTTAGCCGCAGGCAATTTTGTTCCTGCAGGTTCTCAGCCAGTGCTTGGATGTATTTTCTGTAAATTATGCCTTGTTGATACTTCTCTTACTAAAATATTTAAAATAGAAGGCTGTGGTTGTTCCTATTGTAAAGATGTATGTGCAAGTGTTTTCTATATAAATATCAGTATTAGATAAAATATTCTCACATTAATAACTAGTAGCAGCCAGAATAAGAGCACATGCGTGTGCATATATTTACGTGTACATATGTATTTTACATGTTTTAGTGTATGAAAGCATATGTTGAATTTGAGATCGATGAAGGTGCATATGAAATAAGTTGTCCTGATGCACAATGTGAACATGGAGCAATACTTTCCATTAAAGAGATATCAAGTCTCGTTAGTCCTGAATTTATGGAGAAGCATCATAAATTCAGGTTGAACAGAGGTATGTGAAACGTACTGGTCATTAAATCTTATATTGTTACATACTAATCCTTTCCAATGTACAGATGTGTCTATGGACAAAGCACGCGCTTGGTGTCCACGTGCAGGTTGTGAAACGATATGTTCTGTAAATTCTACTGGATCGCCAATCGGACCTGTTCACTGTCCAAATTGTTCGACAGATTTCTGTTCTATATGTCGAGAGTCTTGGCATAGCGGTCCCTGTTCAGATATCTCATTAGGGATACCGTTCGATGGCGATCACATCAAATGTTGTCCTATGTGTTCGGTACCTATCGAAAAGGACGAAGGATGTGCTCAAATGATGTGTAAAAGATGTAAACATGTTTTTTGTTGGTATTGTTTAGCTTCTTTAGATGTAAGTATATCAATTTTTACAGTAGCAATAATGTTATGCATACTATATATTCGTTCGAACTTTCTAAATCATACAAATCCATTAAACAATATAGGACGACTTTTTATTACGACATTACGACAAAGGACCGTGTAAAAATAAATTGGGTCATTCACGTGCATCGGTTATTTGGCATAGAACACAAGTTATTGGAATCTTTGCTGGATTTGGATTGCTCTTGCTCGTTGCATCGCCATTACTTTTATTGGCCGCGCCGTGCATTGTATGTTGTAAATGTCGTGTATGTGGATCATCTAGGCTTGAACAAGAGGAGGGTGATACTACTACATAGAGAAACTCGAAACTTTTACAATATTCTTGTAATTTTTTTCCAGTATCATAAACGATTAGAATAGAGTATTTAATTTGTGGACGTAATTGGTAATCTATATAGATATACATTGAATCATAAAGATGAACAAATTTTATTGCAAGGATATATATATCTATATATCAGATATATTCTTATTTTGTCTCAGTCAGTCGTATGTTTTCGTATGGTTAAAAACTATTTACGTTATCTTTACGTACTATCTATGTATTGTTTACAAATTAATCAATTTCGATGGTACTCGTGTGTTTGTCCACACGATGTAATCGTTTTTATGTAAAAATATCACGATCATGGAAAGATACTTAATATCTAACTGACGTCTACTAATACCTAACTGATGCCACATTAGATACTGAAAGATAGTAAACTTTTTTTTACTATTATCGAGTAATACCACGTTCCCATTTTAACACATCTGTTACACTAAATCATGAACACTCATAATTCTTGTTTCTGACATTCCAGAGAATTATGTTTTCATTGGATTAACTGCCACATTCAAAATTGACTTCATTTTTTTATTTTTTTTGTAAACCACGTACCAAATAATAGTCTGCCTTACGATTTTTTTTATACGTAACTATTAGTACTTTCTGTATATTTACGTACTACCTTTTAGCAATACTCAATATCGTTTCTACACACCTTTAATGTGTTTCCCTTCGTCTATTAACTGAAAAGAAATTTAATAAATATACCATAAGTGTAAATTACTAAGCAATGTATATCTATATGTATATGTACGTATGTTCTGAATTCAGCAAAGCAAAGACACGCGTGTGCATTAAAAATTATACGAATCGTTGATTACGTAACTTTGTTTCATTAACATGTTACTCTTCGTTTATATTGCTGAATTAACTGTACGTATATTACTGTGTAATTATCGATATGATTATGTTCTATCGAATTTGAGAAGTGAAATCTAAATACTTGTAAATTCTATTACTAATATATACTTAATATATTTACTAACGATAGACTTATAAATATAAATGGTTGAGCTGAAAGGAAAAGGATTATCTCCTGTGTGATCTATTTCTTCAAATCGATGATAAAGTAAAAACGGAAGTAATGAAAGCAGTATGTTAATTGTAACATATAAACAATAAAATCAAATAACTTTAAAAAGCCAGGGATAAACTGTTCATAAACTTGGAACATGTTACAATATGTAATCTTAGTTCGTCAAAATGCTCTTTTTGTTTCATTCGAGAAAGACATCTGCTTTATATTATTAATTTTTAATTATAATTCTTAATACAACGGAATAAAATACTTTGTTCACTTTACCTGTTTATACATGTGCGCGCATGAATATCACGAGATATATACACACACAGAAATAATGTCTAATTGCAATGTCTGAATAAATATTCGTTAACAATGAAATAATAAATGAAAAATAAAAAAAATTGTGCAATATGTATGTACAAGTTTCTAAGTAGGCGTTACACCTGCAGTGTACTCTGTATTATTGACTATAGAATGTATATAAGAGCTGTATTTGAAGTATATCTAAACTTATGTACTTCACATGAGATGTGTATGTATATATATAAGAACAAATATCTATGTACAAGTATATCTATGTTCGTGCAACTGTGCAGACAAGTTATTTTAAATCGAACACGAGAACACAAAGAATGTAACAAATTAATTAATAAGTAATAAGATAGCGAGTCATGTGCGATTATAATTATAGGTGTACGTATCTTATTAAATTATAGAACGATACGTGAGTATAATTAATATTTAAACGAAACGAAGTCATTTTATCGTTATGATCTTCCTGTAATTACATGCACGTTCGTGCTGTATTCTTTTTCTAATTTATTGCAATCTTAATTTTCCTTTTCAATTTGGAAGACATGAATCTTGATGCATTTCACATGAATACAACACCTGTTGCATAAAATTGCGGAAAGGTATGCGTCGTCTATGTAATTTTCCTTACTCATATAAGTTGCAACATGTTACTTCGGTTGTTATACAAGTACATTAATGATGCAATAAAAGTGATTTCTTTATTTAAAAAAAGAACAAGTTACATCTAAAATTACGTATCTCGTTTTGTTTCACTTCGAATGTTATGTTGGTGTAAATTCGGTAAGATCCGGGAAAATGGGAGAATAACATAAATAATAATTTCAAATGTTTATTAGATAACCCATTTATTATTTTATGGTACAATATATTTCATAAGAAAACGTAAAACTTAATTGGGTTAAAATTGCTTGGAATGAACAGATTCGCATCAATATAAGATGCATTAAACAACGTACAGAATTCTAAATAACAGCAAGTTTCCACTCATACAAGTTTCACAGGGCTATGTACTTTACTAATTCTGTCATTTTTTAATGCATCCTGTTCGTTGATCTTTAACGGACCACAATTACAAATATATAATTGGAGACGGTGCTTACAAATGGATTACATGATGACAATTCTGTAGACCTACTAAAAAGCTGCGATAGATTACATAGATTTATGTTCACATTCATATGTGTGGCTAGTTAATGGGACTAAAAAAATGTCTAAGTCTACATACTAGAATATATTAGTAGTATTGTAAAATAGGTAGTGTCAAAAGTGTAGTAAATTTAATAAAACTGAGTAAATATAATTGCGTGATGGATAGATAAATGGATTATTTGATAAGGCCTTTAGCTTTAAACAAATCTCTCATCAGGCCTTTTAAGTACCCAATTTCTCGCTGTAAATCTGTTACTTGATTGTTTAACTTTTCATTGTAATCGGTAAGTTCTCGCTCCTCGCCCAGTATATCCTTTATCTCCTGCTTTTTCTTCTGCCGGTATCGCGTCGCCGCATTTTTATTTTGCTCCTTTTTCCGCACCTTTTTGTCTTCGACCGTCGGGCGGGAGTAAGGTTTCTGACGATTCCTGCTCGAAACACATGCGCCGTACTGTTTCGACGTCTTCTTACCGGATTCTAAGATCCAATCTGGGTCATCCACGGAATCTTCCGATGATGTGTAGCTACCGCCAGAGCTGGTACATGGACTAGACGGTGGAACATCTTTCGCGTACAGACGTACGTATTCGTCCACCACATCTAAGTCGTGCGCGATATCCGTGTTCAATGGATCCACTGCTACATTCTTTGCATTCCATTGTACAGGTACTTCACTTACGTATGATTTCTCTTCTGGTATTACTATATCATACACCGGTTGGTGATTGGAATACAAAGGTTGCACGGGTTGTAGAGTAACGAGTAATTGGGTATCCACATTTAAGGGTTTATGCGGTGGCGGTGATTGAGGAGGTGTCAGAGTAGAACTCGAAGTAGGTACTATCTGATGGCAAGCTTCCACATCTCCCAGCACAGTTTCAAACTCTTGTAACAGAGTTTGCGTGTCATCCTGCTGGGGAGCTTTTATAATCTCATTGTACGCTATTGATTTAATTTGTCCATTTTCAGGAATCGGAAGTTCCTCAAAAATGGGCAATTCTATTTTCTCCTCCAACCAATCAGAAAAAGGCTCTGTAAAAAAAATTGAACGAGCTATAAATTTGTACTTTTACTTCGTTCGAAGATATATATAAGGTGTACGAATGTTTCATGTATATCGAAATACAATTAAAATATCAAATGTTGATTTGTATTATTACCCTGGCAAATTAATTTTTCGTTTAATAAAAAAGGTACATGTGTACGTACATTGTTAACGAACACCAAGTTAACAGTACTTCGATACATGCTTTGCATAGAGAATAAGTAGGTAGGAGTGGTACATTAACGTATACATATATGTATAACTTCATGGACATTTCTACTTTAACTAGAAAAACAAGTTCTTGATTTGTAATGTCTTTGGCTGCGACCAATATTAATATAGCCTGTCATTCAGAATGTACAGTGTTGTTCACTTCGATAACCTCGAGTAGTCCATATTACTTTTCCGCGTATAGGAAATAGTATGTAATGAGCAAAACAACATAAACATGTAAAATGATTAAATGTAGAATTGCTGTGAATATTCCCCGATCGATCGCAATGTGTCAATTAACTGTGATTAAACGCTTGAGGCTATTCATGTGGAAGCTAGAAGACTGTTACATGTCCAACAGTATTGTATTTTCTAAATATGTACAACTAACTCATTGTATTTTGTACATTTTACAAAAATGAACATAGACAAATACGCATCGCCGTAAGGTATATGCGGTGAGCGGTGTATGCGCGGCCAAAATGCAACGAGTTGGGTGCATATCAATATAAACTGATGTCATCTACGAATTTATAATGCAAACAGATCTAATTATTAACCAAGAATTTACGTCAAAATTCCATTCTTTGACATACCAATTTTTACTTGAGGCTATTCAAGTGAAGAGCGTTCGACAGTGAAGCGAAGAGTATTTTGACATTACAGACTTCAATTATTGTACCAATAATGACGAAAATAATGTATAAACATGTCACAGTCTTTGAACAAATTAAATTTCGTTATATATTTATTCTTATGCAGAAATGTCTAGAAATTCTATGCGGAAAATTATATATTTTTTTAAATGAGTCATTCCTTAGTGCAAATTTAATCAAAGTCTAAGTAATAATATACAAGTTATCTTTATTTAAGTACTGGGGGCATAAGGGTTAGATAAGAACATTTTTTTAAAGTTATAATGAGCTGCTGTACGTACAAAACGCAACTTTACGACCAAAAATACGATAAATGTTAAGATCTCTTCGAACAATTCATTTGAAAAACTGTCATTATGACGATTAATTTTCTGATATAATCAGTTATATAAATCACAGCTGCTGTTTAGCCCAATTAATTACTCGGCAAGCATTTTTGTGCACCGCATGTTATCGTGTGTCACGAACAGATTTAAACATTAGCACAATTCGTTTTAAAAACTTTGTATGCGTAATATCAAGAACTGGTTCTCCTATTTTTCTCAAAACAAGTTATCATGAATGTGGTGAGAAAAAAATTTGCATATAATCGTCGGCGGATAGCGCGTACGATCGTAAAAATATGGTTCGTTGCAAAAGGAATTTAACAGTCCATAATTACATTGTAACAACGACTTTTATAGACGATTCGGTCCAATTCTCTTGCCCGATAATGCGAACAATGTGGCAACAGTGCTCTGATATGCGTAATGAAGATATTTTTCCATCGGGGCAAAAGCTAGAAAGAGAGAGACGAGACAAGAACTGAGCGAAAGGAAACGTACCGTTGAAACATATAGTAGCCATTATCATGTGCTTCTGATCTCGCGTCAACCCCTATTTAAAAGCTCGTGGATGAAGAATATACGTAGGACTTATAATTAAGTAAAAAAAATAGAAAAAAACAAATTGAAAAACTGATTTTAGTATATAGTTCGGTGGTTTGTTTAAAAATGGCAGGTCCAATCTACGGGGATGCGGTTCAACGTCTTTTTACAAGTTTCTGAGAGTTGAAAACGATTTCTTGATTCCACGTGTAACGATATGCGAACTGCATGCTATTATACAACATTAGCACACTACAGCATCGAGATGGGTATTCTCCTTCCTCTTGGGTCGCTTTTAAAGATGCCAGTATTACCAAAATAATTAATCTATACGAGTGTACTCTTAACCATGTGTCTGAGTTTGTACACCACTAGATCGTGGACGTAATGTTATGCACTTCACTGACAACTTCTTATCTCTCGTTTATCGATTCGATCAGCGAATAGATCACTGATCGCGAGTTCTTCTTCAAAACAGCTTCGAGATTCGATTCGACAGGCAAAGAATCCAATGTTCGGATGGTACGATGTTTGATACGAGTACTGAGAACACGTGGAACAACTTGGCGTATGTTACGAATATACCACGTTTTCGAATAAGATGGTCCGAAATTTTCTTTACAAAAGTTCATAACACGTTGAGAATCTGCGTGTAACACAACTGATGTGTGATTCGCCAACTGCTGAACTACAATTCGATCGAATTAATTTTCTCCGACAACTGGAGAGATCACTGACACCGTGTCGTAAATGTACGCGTTCTGATGAACGGGACACAAACAAAATTTGCTGCTGGAAGTGGGAGAAAACTTTTTCCCTTGTACAGAGAAACGAGCACTTGTTCGAGGATCAACTTATCAATTTGTAACAGCGACCCAGGTATATTGGATATGCAGCGATTCGCGATCGAAGTATCGACAGAAAGTTGAGACTTGTAACGAATACTAATCGACAGAATCATGCGATCAGTTTGCTATACTGGGGAGACCACTCCTGCTTATCTTTGGACTTTCCCCTCGAATACCCCTACTTCGACGCTTGAACACACGTCATTCCCCTATCGGCCTTCAACCAAAGCCGTCTATAGAGGTTAACCAGTTTGTCCCACTCTCCTTTCCAGAAAAAAGGAAAGGAAAACGAGATACAGATACGCGGTGGAACAAGTGAGAAGAACGAAAGCGATAGGAACCTATCGAGAATGTAGTCGGGCGAAGTGGTGGTAATGTTGGTTTCTAAGTCATTTAATAAAAACACACCAGTTCTGAATACTAGAGGACGCTATTCTTAATAAATGCATAATACATGTGTGAACACATGTATGAACTACGAGCGCATTGAAAATGCTCGCGCGCTCTTATGTATCTATTGACACACTGAAAGATATATTTTACAATCTAAGTATAAGGTTCTATTCAGGTGCACCATGTGTTGCTAACTCTACCCAATGTACCAATTCTACTTGTTCACCAAGCAATCCAAGTGTAACAGAGTCTTGTACATAGCTAAAAGAGAATATCCATTTGTGTTTTCTACAATCATTTAAACTTGTAATATGACAATTTCTTTATACTTGGATAATTCTTGGTTCAATATACGTTATACTATTTAGCGTGAAACTTAAAATTCTCATACTCAAATTTTGTTACAACTATTTGTTAATAGATATGGACAGACTGTTACTGTGAAATATTGTTGAGGCATGTAATTTTGTGTAGTCACTTACCCTCTTTAATCCATTCATCTAATTTTTCAAGTAATTTTGTAGCCACTTGTGCTCGGGTAGCGTGTTTGTCCTCATGTATATCAGGTTCAGCAACTTGTTTAGTAAAATCTACAGATTTGTCGTCGAATAAAAACCATTCATCCTCAAATTCGTTCGCCAGCGACCCATTAGGGGACACTGGCTCGAACTTCCACATCCACGTCTCCTGGTCCTGACTGGATGACATTGTCGATGCAAATCCAATCAAGAGGTATTAAAAAATGATGAAAATAAATTTGTGTCGTCTGTGCGACGTAGCTCGAAATGAGCGCCATGTTGGCTCTAAAAAAACATTAAATATAACATTAATTAACTATGTGAATACAAACAAATAAGTACAAAGTAGATAATTTATTTGTTATAAATGAATGAGCGCATTACTTTTGGCTAGATGCAAATGGGAAATAATTTGCTACTCTAAATTTCGACCAAATAACAATAGAAATAAAAAAATATTGTACGAACGTGGAGCGTGACTTATCACTTTTTTACTGGATTGAAATTTTCGGTCAAAGAATGTTCCAATCTTTCTTTTATACGCTCATTATCAATAGTATGAATTACAAATAGCTGATAATCGTAAGATAAACCCGCGAAACGTAAAGAAAATTATTGTTCAATCGTCATGACGTAACATTGTATCACGTCACTTAGGGAAGGTCCTCGATCATTTTTCATCATATATACCATACGAATTAATACTTTAAATTGCTCCACGACTGTGACATTAAAATATTGAATAAAAAGAAAAGTAAACGTATGTTCGATAGTTCCGCGTTAGTGCATATTCGGTCAAGAGTGACTCACAAAATGGCAGACATTCGCGATGGCCTGAATCGCTGGACGCTAACTTAAACAGGTATTTAGAATAACAAATAACGAGGTACTTACTCCATGATTAGTTGGTTGTGTCGGCACACTTGCGTGTGCAAGCTGCTTCGTGAACTACTGATTCATCTTGCTCGCGAAGCGGAACGTGTAGAAAATTGATACGTCCTTTTCCTACGCTGCATTGATGGAGAATGAGCGTCTCCTTCGAAGAATTTGACCACCGGGATCACGTGATTCGGGAATGCGTACGCAAGGGTGCTCAGTTCGCGCCACTTTCGTGGATTTTCTGCGCAGCTTATGTCGCCATCAATTCACATAATTATTTGTATTTTCTATTTGTATAGAGCAATTAAATTTCAGTTTTACTATCATGGTTCTACTGTATTTTATTTAATTCAATTATGTTACAATGTTACTCATAAAAGACAAGCTTTAAAAGTATTTCATGTGAATAAATGAGAAATTTAGGTTACGCGTTATATGCGCAATAGTGTAGCGCGTCTTACGAAAGTAATTCGCTAGAAATCACTGTAGCTCGTGTAAGATGCGTCTTATCGCTCGATAATTTCATGTTTACAAATACTGATAATTTCCTGCTTTGCATTTCATATTTTGCACTCGTCGTATCTAGTCATTTAATGAACATCCATTGCCTAAATAATCAGTAGAATTTATTTTAAGAAAGAAGCGAAATTTCCAACTGCGGAAGAAATTTCTTAACGAAACGCGAAACTGGACAAAGAAAACATATTCTACGGATGTTTGTAACTTACATCAAAATGTGACGTCTTTTTAAACACGTGTCTATGGATATGAATTATTCATCTCTCAACGTGGCGAGAAAGAACAATAAGATCGTGTAAAAAACAACTAAGGTTTTATTAGAAAGAACTAGTATTATACAACATAATGAAGTATTTATGACTTATTTAATTAACAACATTTGACAATAATAACAATAAATGTTGTTCAACACTCAGTTATTTGCTTTTTGTTTGAAATAATCTTGCCTAAATGTTTTGTTTAAAAACAATCCTATCTTGACCCTTATATCCTCTGGCGCAATTAATGTCAGGACTCTTTGAATCCCATGGCTCCAGTAGCCTGTGCTTGAGTCCAACTTGCCAAGTGTGCTAATTGCGTTTTTAGCGTACGTCGTAGCATCAGGCACGAACACGTTAGTTATCTACAATAATACTATTTAATTACAGCATCGATTTATGCATATATACGAACTTGATCGATCGATATACCTGTAGCCGATCACTGTATGCATTCATTTTTGTGTTAACGTAGAATGGGGCCAAATGTTGTATAGTTAATCCGAATCTGGAGTATTCGGCTCTGAGCGCCTCAGTGAAACTTCTTACGTAAACCTTGCTCGCAGCATACACGGTCATCAGCGGCAGCGGCTGCAATTCTGAACCGGATGCCACGTTCACGATCGCACCCTTTCCACGTTTCTGCATTTCGCCGATGACCATTCGCGTCATCATCGTGGTTGCTCCAATGTTAATGTTGATCATGCTCCATAACACGTCCTCCGGTACCTCGCCCACGTACATCGGATAATCATACATCATGCCCACATTGTTCACTGGAACGTTCGCAATCGAGCGCGTCCGAAGATGATTAAAAGTCAATCGAGGGAATAGAATATATGAATGATATATGGGAAAGATAAGAATTGTATAACATAAGAAGAAACGAATCGATTAACATACGGAAGGAGGAAAAGATGATGGTGGTTCAGTTACCTAAGATACCAACTGGAATATCTTTCAATTGCTCCGCGAGTTTCTCGAAGATCTCTCTTCCTTTGCTGAAATCCGCGACGATTACCTTCACCTCGATCGCCGGGTTCTCTTCCAGGATTTCGTATTTCGTTTTCTCTAATTTCTCGAACGTCCGGCTGATCAATACCAGATTTATTCCCCTCGTGGCCAGCTCTTTTGCATAAGCTTTACCGATCCCATCGGTGGATCCAGTCACAACTGTAATCTCGAGGTCATTTATTTTTAAAAGAGAGATTTTTAAGTACTCGTTGACCCGGTTTCCAGATTCGCGCGATCTTTACCTGCCCAGTTGCCAAATTTTGCCTGGAGATCGACTGGTTTGGAATCGATTAACGGAAAAATGATCTCCCGTAAAGCGGCGACCACTTTACTGAGGTAGTTCACAAGCAACCAGGTGAACAGGAGCCCGACCAGCAACCAAAGCGCAATTTGGATCATTTTTCTTTAATGAGACACATCCGGATTATATTACATACCGATAGGGAATAAAAAAAAAATTATGAGATACTCGTCTATACGCTTCGACATGATCAATAGAGAATGAATTGTATTTTATCAGAATAAAACGTATTCCGGAATCGAATATGCGATTAAACAGAAGTACGTATTACCTAATTAAGCGAACCCGTAATAATGAACCATTGTTCAATAAATTTTTTCATGTACTTTTAATTCTTGTTTATGATAAGTCAAATTATTTGATACTTCAAGACTAGATATTTTCTATTTTCTAAGAACTTTGTAATCGCTAGCTTATCGATTGCAAGAAACCGTAAAACTTCTTTCTTAATGTGTAATCTTATCGTGTACGTAATCATGGAAAATCGAGCTTGCCGTATGTCGGATTACTTTAGTCATCACCTACATCAGCTATGTGCATGATGCTACGATTTCGAATTGTCAAAACGTGAAAGTGTTGCTGAACGACGTTTATTACCCAAGTTCACAGAATTTTTCTTAATCTCTCGTAAATGTAACAACACAAATATCGAACACTATCGTCTCATTGTGTTTTTCTTCGGCTGTCGTTTTCCTCTCCCTGTTGTCTCGGACTTTCCCGGTTAATTTCTAAACCGTTTTTCAGACCACGATTGAATATGTTCTGACGAAGGCCAAAGCAGAACTGAAGCCGTCGGTAGTCTGCACAAAACGGCTATTGAAGGTAAGGCACTTTCTCTCTAGCTGTTGTATGCGACACGTTGCCGACGAGTCAACGAGTGACGATTTGGATGAGGAGATTTACAGATAGAATGTAAACGATAAAATCATTTTTTCCCAATGTTTCCATTCGTGTCCATTACGATGTCATCGTAGTTATTTTACGCATAAAGAAATACTAAAGCATCGTGCAGTCACATAATGAAAAGACAACAGTGAAAAACGATAAAATCATTTTTTCTCAATATTTCCATTCATGTCATCACGATGTCATTGTAGTTAGTTTACGCACTAGAAATACCAAAGTAATTGTGAAGTCATACAATTTTATATGATTCCCTCTCGATAGCTGACTTTACTTTTATTACCTTCCGTATTATCTTTATGCATATCGAAAACGTGCTGAATGAAATAGATTACTAGATTGTTATTGCATGTTTGAATATGCGTGATCAATAAAGATCAACATGTTTGCATTAATGTATGCATAGAAAATCTATGATTTGAATAGGAACGAGCTAGACGATTTGTCATTAACATAATGTTAGGCGGGCAGAGGATCAGAAAAAGAAAAAAGGGGAATTGGTACTTATCGCACCTGCCTAGCGAATTCAGTGTTGACGGGGTTTGAATTTTCTGGTAGTGGGCAAAGGAGAATGCAGGCTGGGAAGTGGAAGCACAGGTGGAAAAGGAAGATCGGCTTGTTCGCCGATGAAGAAACGAGGATGAAACGCTGTAGGCGCGCGCGCAGCTTCTTTCACTTACACGAACTGGCATTGATACCACGTTCCATCCTTATGTCAGAAGGTCTTCGAGGCAAGGCAAGTAGCCGCTTGTCCACCGGTTCGGCCGTTCGAGATCTCTGTCGTGTAGTGATTTTTGGCTTCGCACGTCATTCGCGTGTCTGTCATCATCGGTGAATAAAAATAGGGACAGGCGTCATTATACGAAAATCGAAGGAGGTCGTTGTTCCATAAAAATCCTTCGGTTCGATACTCTCGAGAGAATCATCAAGAATTTTCGGGGTGCATCGAAGAACCGTTCGATGAAGGGTTACCGAAGGTGAACGTGCCAGCGGGACATGCCACGTAGATTTTGGCAACGTGCACTCGAATCTTTCGATGCGTAACAGGTGGGTCACTCCGATCTCTCGACGATTCGGAAACGTCAAAGCGTGTCCCGCGGCAACGACTTCTCACTTCGATATATCGAGATTATTGATAAATTGCACAATTGTTATCTCGTCGACTTGGTATTATATTAGTCAGAGCAAAGAATCGAACGGCGCGATTAAGAATGACTTCTAACATCATTGCGCAATACGAATACGAGATTTAATTGGAGACGCGACGTTCTTCTCTTCATTCAGTTGTTATAACACTTTATTTACTTACGTAATGAATTTTTAACACTTATTATTTCATTTCTTTCATATGCGTTTCTTTCGACGAACGGAATGACACTGAATCGGGCAAAGGTTATCGAGATTCATCTGAAAGCTAATTTGATTTATCTCCAGTAGGATTCCAATTCTGTATTTCATACAACGTTATTTAACAAAGCATCCGGATAGGATCCGGCAACAGATATTAAAATTTTCAATGAGAAACTACGGGATTCTGAGATCAAAGTGCGTCTGGCGTCGGGAGCCGGTTTTTGTTCTCGTGAAATCACGGGGATAACGGACACAATAATTTCAGCGCTATAAATATGTACCTATAAAGTCTATGCTTTGGGCGGTATCTGGAGCAGAAATCGTGCGTTTTTGCACGAAACTTGTCAATTCTAACAGTGCCTATCGAGACAAAACTCTACCGCTGGTCAGTAAGAAAATAATAAAACGTCGTACCATAAAATTCTGATCCTTCTGTTATAAAATCACTTCTGGCATCATCTGCACGACTTTGCGTTGAATATTTTCATACCACGATCTTTTACAAACTCACGATTTAGGATGATTACAAGTTACACGATACTTATCAGTTGTTTAGAGAACTAGAACACATAAACCACTTTTTAGTATATTACAAATAAATATGAATTTTTTTCTTAAAATCGTGAATGAGGTCACGGTCCATTGATGTACTAAATTTTAGAACAGGTTTCCTCGTGTTTAGCACTTTTTAAGGTACATTTATTTTACGGATGAATCGTTTGATCTTGTCACTGTAGTGAGACAATTTAACTTTTTAACGTAGTCCTACTGAATGTAGTCAACAGCAATTAAAGGCGTCCTTATTAAAGGAAAGCTGTGCTCCAGATACCTAGATGCCGACGTACCGTGTCCACTAAGAACTGGCTTTCAGAAACTCTACTCAAGACCGTCCCAGTCCTGATTATCATATCTACGGCTTTCCGGTCACGATGTAGATCGTTTTACACGCTCCAACTGCTACGCGCGCTTCCTGTTTCTCTCTCGGTATTATCAGTTATTTCGCAAGATTTGCACGTAACAGTCGAACGTATCATCAGACTCGAGCGAATTGACATCAATAATTTTTAATAGAGGCTCGACCGATTAAAATCCACTCGTTGAACTCTGTCATTTGATAACCCTGTTTTTATTTAGCTTTGTCAAGGCAAACGTTCTTTGTTCGCGTGTATAGAATTTCGAGAACGTTTCCTATTAAAACAGATTTCCTCAAATTTGTTTTAGATTAAAGGAAACTTGGAACAGGGTGATTGCATCGTAAGATGAATTAATGTCCCCTGCGGATAGGAAGGAGAATGACAGGATGCCGTGTTTGGGGGGTTCTGATTCTTTTTAATGCTTGGGTCTCGGCGGTGAACGAGATCGGTGAGCGTACTTCGACGGACGATGAGAGAAAAAGATCATTCGAAACGGAGGGTTCCGTGTACTCCTGGACGGGCCCGAACGCCCTGGCGAGATCCGCTTTGGTGGAACGCCAGGAGAGATTGCAATACAATTGCGAGGAATTGTTTGGCGAGAAAAATTCACGGGACGTAGACTTGGATCCAGAATCATTTAGAAATATCCTCGTCGACGAGCAACACGAGCTTCTGTATTGTTACGTTCCGAAGGTACGTACTATGCAGATGAAGTTTTAGATAATATATAATACAATTTTATTATAACATTCATGTATATTAAAATTGTATTTAGAATTGACTTTCAAGTTTCTTATCATTTTACGAAACATAAAAGTGAATTGACTTATGCTACTGTAATTCTTAAGTCGCTAATTACATCGCCATAAATCGTGACATTAATCAGGTTGCCTGCACGAACTGGAAACGAGTTCTGATGATTGCTACGGGTAAATGGCCAGGTAACGACCCTATGGAGATACCTGCGGATCAGGCGCATTCCCAGGGCACTTTTCAGAGGCTAAGCAACTACACCCTGCCCGAAATAGAACGAATGCTGGTGACGTACGACAAGCTGATAGTCGTCAGGCATCCCCTGGAAAGGCTGTTGTCTGCCTACAGGAATAAGTTGGAAGCGAAACACGAGAAGAGTTCGAGATACTTCCAAACTCGTTTCGGGAAGAAGATCATCAGGGTAACGATTTTATGTTCGCGTGAATTATGTTCATTCTTTATCGGAGTTATCGAACGATGAGATACTTATAGAGATATCGCCGGAACGCTACTGAGCAATCTATGGCCAATGGAGACGACGTGTCGTTTCGCGAGTTCGTCGAGTTTATAACTGATGATTCGGCGAATGATACGACGAACGAACACTGGAAGCCGATATATGAACTCTGTCAGCCATGCTTGATTAATTACAATCTCGTGAGTAAATACGAGAGCTTGGTCGAGGACGCGACGGAAGTATTGGAGCGGATGGGCGTCGACTCAGTCAAGTAAGCGACCTCCGTTCTCCGATGGAAATCGAATATTAATTTTTTGATTTACGTAACAAATCTTTTCCACAGTTTCCCGGCGAAACCTGCGAGTAGCGAGCCTACGGCGAAGAAACTCGACAGGTACTACTCCACGTTGACGTACAAGCAGCTCCGAAAGTTGGCGAATTTGTATAAATTAGATCTAAAACTGTTCGATTATTCGCTGGAGGACGTATTAGGTTTTTCGTTAGCGTGACTCGATTTCGCGCAACGATTCCTGAGAAGAATACGCTTCGCGTTCAGACGCGTTAACGGTTAAATAGGCTTAAGTATTTGCGGTGTTCCACATGTGCGAGTCGCGATCATGAATGATTCCTTTCTTCGATGTGGGAAACAGTCTTTTTCGTGTACTCCGCTCGTTTCCAACATGCCTCGTCATTGTACTTACTACCAATTAATTAGTCGTTAATTAATGAGCCGAATCAATAAACGAAACGAACGTCTTAAGAATTTTTCTCAACGGAAGGATTCACCCACTCGTTTCGCTGCATTTTTTATATTTAGAACGTGCGCGAGTCTGTGCCAAAAATTTAAGTGTACATATACACATGTAGATGTATAAAAATGCACATCGTTCGGTGCCAATGGAACATTCGTTGTTGACTTTCTCCGAAGGAACGTGATCTTCGAATATATAAATCTTGAATATTTATACAGATGTTTCTTTTGGTAGACGGGCGTTCAACATGGTGCCGTATTAGTATGCTCGTTATTATTGTAACAGAGAACTTTCGCCATATTCGAGTACCTAATTGCGTGTATGTATAAAACGTGCAATTCTGATCGATCTATAAATACCAGTCAGGTATCATTCCTATTGATGCCAATGTAATGTCATTGACAATAAAAAAATATTTTCTATACCACGCATATGCATATCCGATGTGATATCTGTCCTCCTTTTTTTTTATTTCAATGGCTTGCTGTTGCCTCATTAATAACTCAACAAAATAGCAGGTGAGGAATGGTTTGCTTTTTTTCATCTATAACGATTGGCTCTACTCGGGAAGATATGAAAGTCACGTTGCCCTCGGCAAATATTAGATGTTACCTCAGAACCGATTATATAGATATATATTGTCCGTCGTGGGGTTAATGTTTGGTTTACAAGCTAAAATTAGCCGAAGGCCCGGTAATGATGAACGATCTTAAACGTTTAAAGACGGAGAGCTGCTCCGCACGGCTTAATCGGATGTTAAAACTCCGGCAAACGAGAATTTCCGCGAGCTTCACCGAAATAGCATCAGCCATCAGTCAAGCCGAAGGACTCTGTGCATGCGTTAACTTAGGTACCGGCAATTAATTTACAGCTCCGTTAATTCAACAACACCTATGTAATAATACTTAACAGCGTCGGCGTCACGTCTCTGCTAAGCGACCTTCAATTCAAATGAATTTACCATGTGCAATTATCTCCAATTGCATTAATATTTAAATAAATCATTTTTGGTGGTAAATAATTATTTCAAAATAAATAATAAATGTAATTTCAATTTTGATGACAAAGTACATATTCTTAAAATTCCGCAAAATTAAGAGTAGCCTTAATTGAATAATTACAAATTTAATTGATTGCACTTTAGTTCTTCCTAACAAGATTAATACACTATTGTATTCATATATATATTTTATTGTAAAATAATTATTAATTAAAATAAACAAATTAGGGATTATACAGGGTGAGTCGTTTAAGACAAGCCACCTGAATAACTTCTATATTTTTGGAGATAAGAAGAGATATTTCGGATAAAAGTTGTTTGTTTCGAGGGACACATTACACGATGTACATAATTTATCTGCAGGTGAAAGTACTTAGGAAATTCGAAGGTCAATTCAGTTTTTCAAACTAATTAATTGCCATCATACAAATAAAATTGTCAATTGAAGATGTTTCGGATAAGTCACTAATGTTTTTTGCAAACAAACATTCGTTTTTGTTATATTTAGTTCGGATTAGTCACGTGGGAAAAATCAAAACGCCGCACGTGAATTTTATCACTGTTGCTGTATTCGACGCGTGGGCGTCAACGGGAGCGATTTTCGTTTAAAAATAAGAATCCACTCCCTTTGGATCTCGCGACCGAAACTATGCGACAGCGGTCAGTTCTCCCGTGTCATTTTATAATTAAATTAACGCCAGGCTGGTTTGCATTCTATCGACCCTAACGGTAATACTAATATTTGCATAAGTATTTTAAAACGATCAGAGTAACCTATGAAAGAATTAAATGATTAATTCAGTAGAATTTCGTTCATAATAAAGATTCTTTAGATGCAGGATTTAGTTGAATGAAATTTTGAATATTGACGTTTTCTATTCAGCGAAAGAATATCGGCAACGATTAGTGATAGCTTAGTAGGCGACTTTGAAATCAACAGCTTTTTTCATTCGTCACTCACGAATCAATTCGGAGCTTTCTCCATCGAAGCTGTATCCGATATTCACCGTGCTTAAATATAACTCGAGGTGGCGGAACTCGTTGGTTTCGCGGCAATAAAAGACGGTGGTGGGACCGGGGCTACCAATCCTGGACCAGAAGTTTACAAGGGAAGGTGCATCCGCGGCACGGTTGGTGGGGACTTCAGACAGTTCCTGGAGGAATTTCGGGATAATTTCGTTTGTACTTGGTTAATCCTGCGTTGAGTGATCCAGTTGGGAATCGGACGCAAAGTGGCTCGGTGCTTGGTCCTCTCAAACTTCGCCGTTCGTTTCTCATGTCTCCGGTGGCCAATTGGATTTCCTAATCGGCTGAACGAACTTTCTTCAAGTTTCACAGAAAATAAAATAAACTCGACAGGGAACGATTAATATTTTGGGTAGGATTTTCCTCATCGATGGAGAAGTCGAATTTAAATACCTCATCGTTAATTAATCGTGATTACTGGTAACTGATTTTTTCCTCAGTGTCGTTGATCGACTTGTGCGAATACTGAAAAATGCCACAGGCAGCTCACGAAACGAAAAACATCTTAACCACGTACTTCATACTTATCCTCCTGCTGATCTGTCTCTGGTTATTATACTCGGGATTGTTCTAACTTGCGTCAACATACCTCGGTAACGGTAAGTAATGGTAATCATAGTTTTTTAGCATACTGCATAAATTACTGAGCCAGTTTATCTTCAATGTACACGTGTGCTTCTCGTTGGCGGCGATCGTTGAAATCTCCGCAACAATCGTGGATTTCACGCATACGCTTAGGATAGTTACGCGATCTCAGTGCGTCCGCGTAGTAAAACTTTACTTTTATCGGTTGTAGGAATGAAGTAAGAAGCAGGAAGGGAACGCGCGCTCGTCGACAAGCAGCTATCCTCGAGCGGTCGACGAATACTCAGGACTCTCTAGATGCCACAGTTCTTCCTTTGTCTAATTATTAACAATCTTTCTCCTCTTTACCTCCATGCGATTTTCATATAAAACCGCAAAAAATGAACGAAACAAACGTAATCCGTCTAAGTTCTTACAACGTGCTCCACGAATTTCACGTTCGTTTATAGTTTCCTCTACGATTTCGTACATTTGATTGCCACGATGATCAGACATCAAAGGGATAGTTCTATTTTTAATAAAAGGAACAACCAAAATAATGCGGTTCGTACAGTGGGATGATCAAAGAGACTCGTATCCTCTTTATAAATTTCTAACGTCGTACGGACGCGCCAATCTCCGTTTACTTTACACAGTAATTTATTTATATAATTCTCTACTAACGTCTTACAGGCTTGTAGATGGCGGCTGTTTCGTTAAATAAAATTCTTTATTTATGGAAAATTGCGTACCGCGGGCATTGTAAATCCCACACGATCACAAGTGTTCCGAAGGCCGTTGATACTAAAAGTCAAGAAAAATACGAGCAGAGCAGGGGGGAAAAGAAATGTGGGCCTCGCGAAGACAGAAAACACATCTCGGGGTACACGGACGATGGGATAAACGCGTGGGAGTTTTAGCCGAAAATAGCGACCGATGCAATGTTTCCAGTTCTTTTTACAGTACGCGACGGCCATAACGTAAGCGTCGGACAGAGAACTAAATCGGTATTTTCGATAGCACTTCCGAAAATAGACGATATGAACACAGCTCGCCGATCTCGAGTGCATAGCGTCTCTGCTGTGGATAAAACCTGAATTCCCCGCGGTTATTACGCAACTTTCGTGGACCACCGAGTATTACCTCTCCACGAGTGTTTCAAGTATTTTTAATCTGGAACAATATTCCTAACACGAACAATTTTCTTCAAAAATGAACCTTTGCATTAATTTAGTCTAGCATTGGTTACTAGAAGTCGCTGCGTTCCTGTGTTGCCCGAGTGCGAAGGAAATTAATTACGTCGCAGGCAGCCGAGAAAAGCGTGACTTCCGGCTCGGGACCGACATAGCAATTCGAAGTCCTGCGTTGCATTACATATGTATTCCGCTACGAGCAACACCGTTACGATCAGAAATCTGAAATTTTTCTGGATTCATCGACAGGACCCATGCGTATTTTTACAATCGCAGATGGTAAACGTAGCTTCCGCAGCGTTCCAGTAATCGCTCGAAATAGATTTTAATTGCTCTAGATTTCTGTCGATCCATGTTACACAATAGGCCGCCTGCGTCGAACCCGCGGAACAAGTCACGCCGATCAAAATTATCGGCTGCATTTGCATATACACGTTTTCGCTGTGTAACTTAAAGGTATTCGAAGGGAGAGAAAGGCGACGGTACTCGAATTCAAGGTTTATTTATTTCGCATAGGTGATCGTTTGAAAAATTAGTGGCTCGCTTTGAATTACTATTAGAAAAGACTGCGACAGAGTAGATAGAGGAAATAAACGATTTCCACAAGGCTTAGGAAGCTGCTGCCAAAGAACAGACTGAAGATTCCGCCGATCGACGCTGAAACACAGGCAAGTTTGCTTTCGGAAAAACTTATAGAAACATACAGATGACTAGCTGACGTTTAATTTTGATACCTAAAAGATAAGTTTCGTCAGCTGCTGGCAGAGTTATTAATATCGGGAATGATTGCGAGTACATGAACACTTTGACGACGGCATTTCCTTTCCTCCTGCAAAAAACAGCAATTAAAACTGGAGAAAATATTTCAAGAATCGAAAACTCACTGCGTTAAGGATATCATATTTGGAAAGACGTCGTAGTCGATGTTCGCGCAAGGAGTCCTGCAGGAGCAGCTGAAATTATCGTTTTCAATGTCTTTCATGATCCCTATCAGTTTCGTGTTTCGCTGAATGCACGGAAGTTCATCTATTCCACAATTCTAAAATCAAATTTGTTCGACAATCATACCAAAAGATTGAATAAAATATAAAGAATATTGTAAATGTTTGTTACAATATTTGTTTACTTTGATGTTGTGAAGTTTCGAAATGTGGTTGTAGATAAATGGTAAGCAACCGCAGACCTGGAGCATGATTCTGACTCTGCAATTTGCGTAACAGTTCGAGAATCCATAGACGGGGAAGTATTCTAAAGGGTTTTCATCATCCGTGATGCATATGGGAACTAATGTATTATTATAGCCACGATGCTGCATTCCCGATGGTTTCTCAGTCAGTTGCGGATCCACTGCAATCTGCAATCGTTATTATTACGAGAAATGGGATCAAGTTCAACATGTATTCACGAACCCGAATGTTTCAAGAACCCATTTCATGGATATATATCAATATTCAAAAGTAATAATGTTTCATTGATTATGTTTTAAAAGTATTCATTTTATACAAACTAGTGTCGAACCTCGGAATGAGTATTTTGAAGTTTCGATAAGATACTTAAATTCATAACTATTTAAGAATAATATTTCATTTACAATACTTGGTTTTAGCATATTTAGTTTTTTATCCATGATAACAGTGACTGGGGGTGGGGAAGGGTAATGGCTGTCATTAGTGATAATGAAGTCCGCAATTAGATTACAGGATACGTGTCCTTATGAAAATCCGATAGATTATGAAATTATCGTTATACATGTTGAATTAAATTAAGTATTAAAGGATTTTAAAAGTAAAAAATAATGAATAGAAAGATCGGAGAATTTTTGGTAAGATATTAATAAAAGCTTCGAATCTATTCAAACCAGTTTCGAGTACACTTGCAAGTACTACTTCCGTTTATCAAAATATTTGCAAAAGGTTCGAAACTACTTGGCATCATTTTTGAAGTAATTATAGAGAGTTCGAATTCGATCAACCAAAGTTCAGACTCGTTTCCGAGGTACTTGATCCCATTCCTATTTATTACTATAAATGATGATATTACATTCATTCATCGATCGTAACTTTCTTGCTTGTACATTCAATTGTCTCATTACCTCCAATTCGTGGTTCGTCTGTAACACGAACATATCGGTGTTGAGCCCTGGAAAATCGTAGCTGTGATGTATAAGTACCTAAGAAAGAGACAAAGAAATATGAATCTTGCGATCGATTTTAATTCCACGTCATATCGTACTCTGATACCGTCATTCCTTCGCTATTTGTAAATTTCAGTGTATCGTTCAAGTCGATGTCACTGTCTACGAGATACTCTTCGTTGATAACGAGCTTCAGTCCACTAAATCGGCCAGAGCTGGCGGTGTTCAAAGGTTCCAACTTTGGTTGTTCGCTTTGATTTTCATGTTTAAATAGAGACTTAGAAAAAAAGTTTAGAAAATATTTGAATGATCATTGATTGAAATACTTGCTTCAGACCATCCATGTAATCCTCGAGAAGGTAATTGAAGGAGCAGCACACACCGTAAGAGGTGTACGACTCTTTGATCGATTTCGAGCAGTCTATACGCTCGAACCTCCACGAACACGAGTCGAAAATGTCCACGCATGGTAGCAAAATCTTTAAAAATTCCGACACGGTCCATTTGTTCGCATGCAAAAGAGCTTTAAACTTGTCCATGTCGTCGAACTCTTTTATCGCGTACGGATTAGTTATGTGATGACCGTACCTACATACATGGAATTGCATTCAGTCTCGTCGGATCACTTTCGGGGAAATAAACGTTCTAAATAAATATAGGACTGTGCATTGGTGTCTATTTCTATACGCACTTGAGCATGTCCAGCGCGAGCTGTCTGCTGACATTCTCAGGCAAGATAGCGTTCTCCAAAATTGCCAAGCGTTTACGCATGGATATCGGCGTGACGGGGCAAATCGTGACAGCGGGGAAGGGCGCCTGGAATATCGGGGCGGTGAACGATTTTATGAACGTGTTCGTCGGATTATTGTTATAACGTGCCAGGAATTGCATAATCATCATGCTCAGACCTATAACAAAGCGAGTACTTAATTGAGATACTTTTCTCATTCCTCTCTCTCTCTCTCTCTCCCCCTCTCGAGGAACGACAGGTACAAACGAAAGAGGTGACTATGGTACAAGTCCACAGGATCTTCCCAAGGATTCCGACGTTCAGTTCCGTTTTCCCGAAGTATTGTAAACCGTGTACCGAGGTGCTCTCCAGATAGTCATTTAAAATGTCTCGCGCAGATGGAACTTCCTTTTTTTTAATCAGGATGTTAGTCCCACTGTTCGAATTGTCAGTGACCGATTTGACGTTCATAATGTTAACTTTGCCGACTGGTCTTCTCGGAACCGCGTTAGAATATTCAATATCGAAATGAACAGTACGTTGATTCCGATTTCTGACTCGTCTCGTCATGGTACCGATGGATTTGTAATAAAATACTTTGAACGTGCTTCTCACTTGTGCCAGTGTTAGAATACTGATACTCTTTTATGCAGTATTCACTTTTATCGAATCCCGCAGGCTCGCGTGTCTTGCTCCAATGTAAATTATTCACTTTAAAAATTGATTAAACGCCAACAGCTTGTGATTCGCTGAAAGGTCGGTTTCATGTGATAAATAATTCTCATCGGTCTACGAGCAACCGATTAAAGTTTAAAAAATTCACAATTTAATTCTTATCCGACATGTAGCGTCGCACGATGGTTACTATACTTTACACATTTTTCTTACAAACTTCATACAAAATTATGTATTATTTCTGTCAACGCTTCCATCGGTAGGAACATACATACACAGTCGCATCTGTCCAATGATCTTCATTTCAAACAATCACTGTCTGGTGTTTCAACGAACTTGCAGCCTCTCGCTCGCTTTCTCTTTATTTACAGCATAAAACAACGAAAAGAAAAGAATAGTCTACGATCTATGTAAAGAGTACAAATAAATAAAACGATGCGTAACATAATAAAAAAATGAAGACAGCTATGTACAAAATAAGAGCAAACTCCAGTTCGAACGTAAGCGACAATTTGCATTGAAAGTGCCCTCATCCCGACGCGGAAGCTCTCGAGCTGACGAGCTTGCGTCAATGAATGCTTGGCACGATCCGAACGTGTCTCCATCATGTCCTTTTTAGAAATCTTGAAACAGAGCCAGTTGTTCCGGTGGCAAGGGAGGTTGCGAACGCCAATCGGTTTCAGGATAATCGTCGAAACAGCTTGGGTCGCCTGGCGCTTTTACTCGCGGCCTTACCGGTGGATTTAAAGCTCTTTGGGGAACCTGTTAGCAAAAGAATTACGTCGAAACTCTTCTTGAATGAAAGATACGATTCTGTTGTCTAGATAATAATCTCCAATCGATCCGACCACAGATGAGAATTCGAAAAAATTACCACTGTCCACTCCACCAATTTGAACCAACGATGCCTCTTCACGTCGTCAGCTCCTTGTCTCATGTTTCCTAGCCTCTTCGTTCTATCCGCGACCAGAAGCTTCTTAATCAGGTCCTTGGCAATCGGGTCCATGTGCTTTGGCCACTCTATCCTACCGCTGAGGATCTTCTCGTAGATGCCGAAGGGATTGTCATCGAAGAACGGCGGGAAACCGGCTAACATCTCGTAGATCAGAACACCGAGCGCCCACCAGTCCACCGCCTTATTATGCCCTTTGCTTTGAATTATTTCTGGCGCCAAATACTCGGGTGTGCCGCACAGAGTCCACGTTCTGCAAGCATGATTCAGACAATTGCCATTCTCAGTAAAGGTGAACATCGCGCGAACATGGTATGCCGAGGTATGCACCTGTCGGTGAGTTTCTTGGAGAAACCGAAGTCCGTGATCTTTAAATGACCCTGGCTGTCCAACAGGAGGTTCTCGGGCTTCAGGTCTCTGTAAACGATATGTTTGCTGTGCAGGTACTCCAGCGCGCAGACAATCTCCGCCGCGTAGAAACAGCTGGTGGGCCCGGAGAATCGACCGGCCGCTCTCAAATAAGAGAAAAGTTCGCCGCCGGCCACGAACTCGAGCAACATGTACACTCTCGCCTCGTCTCTTCCGCTCCAAAGCCTGAAACCGATACGACGATCCGAAACAATTTTATTTGACGAAAAGCGAAAGGCTCTCTATTGTTTTTCTTGCATTTGTACAAAGATAATTTCCGTTTCTTACGGTAGGTAATTGAGCAAAAGGTATTTATTATGCAAATCGAATAATTAACAATAGCCTGGCCGCTCTTATAATTACAATTAGTCACGCTTTCTTTAAATACCTTTATTCGACCGACAAACTTTCTTGATCGTACCAGACACCTGGCACGTGTCGTCACGAGCAACGGTTCTCTCCCGTCCGGGAAAGCATTGTGTGCTGAAGACCTGTCAGGCGATCGGAACGGAGAAAGGAGAAAGCAAATCCGACTTACATGTTCACGATAAAGGGATGTTTGACCTCTTTCAACACGGTGATCTCGTTTCGCACGTGTTCCACTTGCTTCAGTCTGATCACATCCACCATCGACAGGATCTTCAAGGCCAAGGGAGTACCCTGATGCCTGCAGAGTACCACCCTGCCGAAAGTACCCGTGCCTGAGAATAAACAGTCACCGAATTCATTAACACTCCAGGATAAACCGGTAATTATTAATAATTATTTATTGGAGAAGAAAATTAAATATCGCCATATCAATTAATAGTCGCGATTATTAATAAGGCATGACGGGAACTCGTTTGACATAAACGTCAATAATTATTATCGACGTTCTCCTCGGTCACGTGATCGGTCCGTCTAACGTGTTTTCCCACGGGTGCAGGTGAAACCCGTAAAGTTAGTTTGCTCGACGTACCACAACCAATTAACGACGATGCAACGATGGCCGACGATCCGCAGCGGTTCGTGCCGAAATTAACTGGCAAATTGCACGCGTTCTGCGAGGGGCAGGCGATCATTATAAATGCGACAAAATTGGCAGACAAGGGGCGAAGCCGTGTCGCGCGACCCGTGAAGCGATCGCGGTGGTTGCCAGCGACAGCTGAGAACAGGTGTCGATGACAGAACGACGAGATGTTCCCGTCGTACGGCACTTTAAATATTTATCTGACCGCCACGGAATTGTCGTTTCTTCTAACCGATGAATGAAATAAGTTATCCGACTTAATCCGGTCATATCTTATCAGAGATTTTATTATCGTCGAAAGTGAGTTACGGTCGACGCTAAGAATAGGCAGGGAATTTTCAAGTGACACGCGTAATTCAAGTAACATCGTTCATTTATCGCAATGGTTACTTCGGTCGAATTACATGCGCCAGACGTTTCCCCTCGGCGCGTTGCTCTTTTTCCAGATGGTCGCTCGAGAGTGAAGATTTTGGTGTCCGTCCAAAACTTGTTTTACGTCTTGGAAAGAAGCGGGTCCGCGCATCTGTCCTGATCGATCTTCGGTTAACGCGCGTGCTATCGCAGTTTGATGTAAATGGAACGATCGAGGATCGATGCCAGAAATTTATTTTCTCTTCTTTTCGCTGGTCGCCGTTATTCAACGAGCCTGACGTTTCTCGCGTTGCGGGATTAGGCTAATCCAAGAGAAACTACCTGTCGACGAGAGTTTCGTGTTTTTGCTATTGCGAATCAGAGTTCTCGTTTTGGTTGCGGCAGTTTGGCCATTCTCGTTTCGCAACACGCGAACGATTGAAAATTAGACTGCAAAACACCTAAGCCCAACCGATCCCGTGTAACTCGAACTTAACGAGCAGTTAAATATACATCCTAAACTACGGTGCCGTCTCTTACTTTCCAATGGCCCACTTCCAAGCTTCGAGGGTAGTTCGCCTTCTTCCCTTGACATTTTCTCGCGGAAAATCAGCGGCGTGTAACGAACATTTATCTGCATTTCAAATTAATCTCAACAGGTTGCAAACAGCCGTTCATCACGTACGGTACAAGCGTTGATCGTCGGCTAATTAATTTAATAAATACTCGTACAATGTGTCGATTGTATGAAAGGAAAGTAACGAGATGATTCCCAAGGTATCTGAATATAATTTTACTCATCTAATGGCAATGGCCATAATTAATTAAAACAATGCTATCAATTTGATCTGCTAATCGTGTGAAAGGAAAGCAATGAGTTCACCTTGATGGATCTCTTAGTCTATCGATAAGACGAATAGAAAGCTGTTTGATATGGGCGATCAACGAGGAATAGGTGCAAGGATGGAATCTAAGTATAGCTTACCTATGGTCTTGATCATCTCTAAATCGTCTATATCGTACCGCGTTGAATCCTCCTGCGATCCCTCCTCGTCGGACGTCGTGTCACCCGACATGCTTTACGAGCTACTGTCGTCGACGGCGCAGCGTTCGGAGAAAGTTGCTGATTTATTTCCTAGCCCGCGACGCGTTGGACACGTCCAAACGGACCCCTCGCGGTACGTATTCTTAGACCGTGTGCCAACCGGTCGACCTCATATTTCGCTGTATTCTTCTCGAGTATAACGAGCATGAGTAAAGAGTACGAAGTTCGCGCATAAGCGTGCGATTTCCAACGAATCGGCGAAGACGGCACGGCGGCGCGGAGAAAAAGTTTTGGCCGACAGAAGAAAGAAAGAGAAGAAGATCGGGCCAGACGTCGTCGTGTTGTAAGCTCGCAACGGTATATTTATCGCGCGTGGTGCTGTCAACGACCCTCTTTTCCACGGAACGCTGCTCGGAGCGGTGAAAATGTGTACGATGATTTCACAAGTGTCATTCGCGGTGAGCGTTCACCGAGCAGCGGCGAGAGAGGAGGAGGTAACACTTTCCTCTTTAACGTATGCAGGCCGTCTTTTTTTACGTGGCCTGCTGCGTTTGTTGATTTAAACGGAGTGCACGTGTTGCGTGTGTCGTCACGATCGCTGCTGCACAATTTCGGAATCGGTCATCGTTGATGGTTTCTCGGTTGAAACGCGGAAAAGGAATTCCTACTCGTTCCCTTCGCCGACGCGTATCGTCGATCGATTTCTTTTAACACTCTGACTCAGTGAGAGCGCACGATGTTCGTAAATACGATGTTTAAGAAAAAAGAGAGAGGGAGGAAAGGGGGAATAATAATCGACGATCCCGACGAACACGTGCGCGATTATAACACAAAAACGAGTCGTGCAGGTCACAGGAACAAGTTCACAGACACTAATCGTCGCACGTGATCGGCGCGAGCTGTCTGTCGCGATCGATCGACGGGCCACCGTTTAATGACGATCCGGCGACGATCTCGGCGAACGATCTTGGATCTCGAAATCTGCGCGAAGTATCGAGCTCGTTTTTTGTCACATGATCTCTGGTGCGGTTCGAATGCCAAGCAGAACTAAACTGGTCACCGAGGGGTCTCAAAATGCTCTCTCCATCCTTCTCTTGTCCCCCTCTCTGACATACACCCACCCATCCTGTCTTACTCACTCTCTCTCTTTCCCTCTCCCTCTCCCCCACCCCTTGCCCCCTTTATCCCTCCATCCCTTTTCACCGCGTTTCACTCCCACCTCCCGTGCCGACACCGGCACGACTCTCACTTTGAGCCCGAGAACACATCTCTCGCTGCTCCAGGCTTCCTCTCTCCTCTTTCCGTAGCGCTCCGTTCCGACCGGAGTGATTTATAGGCGACGATCGCGGAAGATTCGCGGCTGGCCGCGGAGATAAAAGGCGGCATTTAAAAATACGGTCGGCAAACGCGGAATGAAATCGCGCCGTCATCGTAGAACCCGTAGAACGGCTGAATTCCACTTGGCGAATGTTAGGCTTCTCAGCCGCGGAACAGAAGTCGTGTCGTTTCAAGGATCTCCAGCACAGCTGACAAGACAAACACTCGTCAAATGGACCCCGACTTCGAGTCGCGTAACCAGAGTACCAAACGAATGAATCGTCAGCATGGATTAAAAACAAATACTGAACGTTCTTTCTTCGTGGACGATTTGTCGAGTGTCTAATTGTAAGAAGAATGACTCGACGGAGTTCCCAGCTCTTTAAATCGATCTTATGAATCAGAGATCGTGCGTGGATGCGTAGGATGAATTTACATATAGAAATCGTACCGTTTCATAAAGAAACTTTATTTTTACAAGAATAGAACAGGCGATCGTTGTTCTCTGATAAGTGTAAATTGTCATTCATCTTAAGCTTTATTACTCGATCGCTGAGACTTTTCCTCAGGCATCCCGGTCGATCTTAAATTACCGATGGGATATTGATGAGAAAAACGAGTTGTAAACCGCGTGTATTACACGTGGATGCGAAGTGGTCGCTGATGATTGGCGAATCCGTCGAAATTCGGCTTATTTTTGTATCTGGCCACCTTCCAGACGCATTTCCTTTTCGACTCTCACACGATACGTCTCCGATCGCTATAAATCTTCACCATGCTCGCAGTTATATATATATATACACTACATCATCTTTCCACCTTGTCCAAAATCGATCGTATACAAAAATGAATGATAATCTTTTAGAAATTTTCCTTATCCTAAGTTTGTGTAGAAAGTATCCTAATCTTACAGAGAAAATTCAACCCTATAAGATCATGCTTTAGAGAACGAATCCTACAGACATAAGCACATTTTCATGCCATAGACAAAATAATGGTAACGGCTATAGGAAGAAGAATTTCTCGAGCATGAAGCATAGAACCGTTAATTCAATTCGAGTCGAGAGAGCACCGAGGAAAATTTAAAATCAATTCATTGCGTTCTTTATTGCCTGCTTTCCTTGAAACCAACAAATCAGTCTGAAAGCTCGGTCTTTGTCTCCGGACGGACGACGTACGAAATTTGGACGATTTCGGAGCAGACTCGAAAGAAGACAAGTATAATCGTTCACGAATGCGATACGAATTTATAGTTCTTATTGCGATACGAACAACGTGCAACCACCTATAAATAAAGATGATGCTGGTACTTTAATATTTACGAATCTAATAATAATGCGGGGACGCGTTATCATCGGCATGCCAGTACGATTCACCGTTTACTTCGCGAAACGCGTGCGTCCGATCGATTATCTAATCCAGCCTGAAAGAAAATTACGAGGTACATCGTCCGAGTAATTTAACAAAAAAGTTGTTCGAAGCGCGTCATTTCTCTGCCAGTGTTTAATGAATGCGATCGCATGATTGAACGTATTATCGTGTCGAATCGAGAGGATGACGTGCCACCGAGGTTTTCACTGTGCTGCAGCCAGTCGTTAATAACCGAAATGAAAATAATAGCTTCCGGGAATCTATTTCATAGACTCACTCCTTGCCAGGAGTCTCTAATTACATGCTCCCCGCGTTTCCTCAAGTGTCGTTGTTTTCTTTAGAACCATTGCATTTTCTATTAACATCTACACGAATGTCCTTCCGTTCACGATAAAAATCATCGATGCAAATCGAATCTCAATTAAACGATCGCCCGATAAGTGTCGTATAATTTCTATCCAGCCATGCAATCAAGTGTCACTCTCTTTATTACCTGACCTAAGTGGTCACGATCGTGTTTCGATCGTCGAACTAGTCGCTCGCAGATACGCTGTTTCTACTCCAGAGCCAAGATTAAACGTTTTTTTTTACTCTTCCTACGTTCTTCTCGTGTATTTTAATATTTGGACTCACGTTAAGCCTCGCACAGAAGGCAAATTTGTATTTTCTTATGATTAAAAAAGCAAATTGAAATTTTTTAAGTGGGTAGACAATGAGCTATGCCCATGCTTCTAGCAGAAATTCGAAAAATTACACTCGTCATACTGTTAGGTCGCGGAGGGACGGCCATAAAATTCGCTGATGTACACATATCTGTTACGCACTTTGATCTCGCCTGCACGTCAATATTTATCCTTTTTATTACCGATAGTTAAAATCGAATGTTCCTCGAGCATTAATGACACGTCAAGCTAAAACGCGGCGGTGATAAATAAAATCGAATCGGTAGGACGAGAGTTTTCATTTTAAGACGGCACCATTGGGACCGCGTTATAAGTTCCTCGATTATTTTTACATTTTGGGCGGCGCGGCGCATCTGGAACGGCGCGTCGCGGCGACGACGGCACGCGCGAACAATTTCGCTGACCAGACATTGACACTGACGGAAGACCGGACGGACAATTCGCTCTTCTCTATCCGCAGAAATATCGTCCGTCGTCCAAGGACGAGGATGTCGCGAGCGTCTAATGACGTCCGTGTTCGCCCACGAGTTCTGGATGCGAATCAACTCGGCATTTGTTCTAACCCGTCTAAAAAACGAGGAAATATCCATCTAATCAACCAATTTAAGCTTCTCATTAAGGATGTATAGGCTATACAATGCTAGCATATTGAATTTGTTATTATAGATTCCTATTACTATTAAAAAGCTACCTGCAAAATTTTAAATCAATTCATGGATTTCTTGAAAAATTATAGTGACTTGAAATTTGCATCTATACTCTTATGGTAATCAGTGATTTCTTTTTAATTATAGGAAATGCATTTTTCTAAAGTACATAAACTTTTGGAATTGACTGTATAGCCAATACATTCTTAAACGATAATTCAAGCGTCCCTTCATTTACTGCTGGAAAAAACGATTTCCATTTCTGGCCAATTTCGGAGTACAATGATTTATTAATCTGATTACTGATTTGCAAACGACGAATTTTCGAAGTATGACTACGCATTCACGGTGCCTGAACGGTAAAAGGTAGACGCGCCTTTGACCAACTTCGCCCATTGTTATGGGACCGGAGTGACTATGGAGGTGTTACTCACCTTGCCATAAAGATAAGTTTCGTGAATAATAAAGGTTACCATCCTCTGATGACGTAGCATGGGCGGGTAAGCGCGTGTGGGTTGCACACGTACTCGGAAGCGGATGGGCGCGTTCGTGAATATCTAATCCGAATTATTATCGTTCAATATCCTATTTTCTTAAATACCAGTAATGTACCGTAACACGGCACGTGTATACGAAAAGCAGAACAGTTCGAGACCAGATCGTGAACGAATTACACGGGCATTACCCGTCAGCATATTCGACTTACACTAATGAGTGTTACGCGTATGAAAGGCAAAGATGAGCGAGCATGTGTCAAACTGTCTGTTCCCAGGGAACGCGAGGTTCCACGGGATATTTTCAAGTATCCACGCGGTCCCACGGTGACTTCCGGTTTCGGCGATACCCTCGCCAGTTTCCGGTGCCCACGACAGTTTTCCATTGTATAATGGCGACGTGCCCGAGCACGGTGGCTGTAAAAATAATGACGCTTACGTTTACGGCACGATATTCTTATACCGAAAGGTTTGCTTTAGAAGTTTTACTCACGATTCGCAAGACAATTTGTCGCTCGTTTTTACGTCTCGGACTCGTGTCTGTCGTTTCGTGCGTCGCTTTTCTCGTTGCGTAACGAGGAACGTGACACAGGCCTATAAAACACGCAACGTTACGTTGGATTTTTACTGGCGAGACGTGTGGATAACCGGGCCGGGTATCCCTTTTCGGCCTTGATCGTTTTACCTGTTGAAACGTTGCAGGTGTTTGGCTGGGAACCCAGCGAGGATCCAACCGAGCCCCCGTTGTCCGTTCCGAGCCAACATGAAACCGGAAGCGCTGCTTTCTGCCCTGCTGCCCACGAACAATGAGATCGAGAGATTCCTACCGGGACGTAAGCACGATCAAACGGTGAGGTGCTTTATCGACAATGGCTATCAAAAGTATCTATTTATATTGATAAGAGGAAAGGGTCGAGGACTGCAAAATGACTAGAGGTCGTGGGTATTTAAAGAAGCATTCTTTGACTCAAACTCTATGATTACTTAAATATACGTGTTGCACATAAATAAGTGAATCGACTTGCCGGCATGTTCAATGACGTATAAAAAAGAAGCAGAAATGAAGGAATTATCAGTAGTTGACGGGGGAGATACCGTGTGTAAATGCGAACGTACAAAGTGCCTCACCTGCATGACGATAAGCCACCCTAATTATAGCTTAGGAAATCGACGGGGACGCTTTGGGACCATTTGTCATCCGCTTCTCCAGTTGGCGTGGAAATCGTAGCTTTAATTTTCGTTGGTAAAATACGGAAACAATTTGCATCGGTCGACTATCGTTTCGTGCGTCGCCCCTATGTTTTCACACGTGCGTGTGTAACGGATATATCTAATAATGGTACATGTACATATACGGTTGTTTGATCGTTACAGCACGAACATCGTTCAGCCAGGCTCGTCCACGCGATCGATACAGTAGTGTCGGGACACAATGAGAAAATCTTTTCACGGCCACTGCCGTCACGTGGTTCGAGTACGGTCAGCAACAGGTGTGACGCAACAGTTAATCAAACGTTGTCAATATGATGTCTCATTTCGTTGCTCATTAATTCAAGCACGTTTCATCTAGTTGTACTCCTTATTTCCCTTTTAGAAGATAAATAATATTTCCCTGTTCATTTTTCCCCACTTGGTTAACAACTTCAACAAAATGTCTGCAGTCGTTTCGCAGCGAAAGTCAAGTGGTTGGAACTCGGGACTCCCTTAAACTGCAAGCTACGCGGTAAGTTTTAACAAATCCACCGGTAATAGGATGACGCGTAGGAACGGGATACAAATGATATTCCCCGAACGCTTCGACGACGGACGGGACAATGAAGGGAAGAAAGAATGCACTTAGTCGGTGAACTCGCGCGACAGGTGTTGCGCGTCGAGCCGCGTCGCGAATCGATCCGCGAGGCTCGACACTGTGTCGCAGCCTTTTTCTCCGACACTTTCTTCTCTCGCCTGATCGAGCTGCGTTTCCGGTTGGCTACGGTACGGGCTCTCGTCCCGCGCTCCTCTCCTGTTCCTCGTGGACAGGCATTTCTCGTTCGACAAATGCGCGATTCCGTATTACTCGTGCGAATCGCATCGCATCATCTACGCGTTCGCCACCGCGTCGGGTTTCCGTCCGCGCGGAGAAGGCTGTTGCCAAGTCGCGACTAGGCGCATGTAAACGCGGCCACGGCGAGAAATCAACCATGAACGCGAAACGTTATCACGTTAAAAAACGTCGGTTTTCGCGGTTTTTGTGACCCCGCTTTTTCACATTCCACCTCGGCGCGGAACGAGCGCGCGCCCGTTCGTTGCTGATTCACGATTTAAGCTTGTAGCCACGGTAGCTTCTTACTGGTAAAGAAATTCGAGCGACCGGACTCCTCCGGTACAACGTTAACGATCTCTTATCTCGGGCGCAGCCTGATCTCTCGCCTTATTACCTAGCCACGCTGATACTGGTTGGTTACGTAAACGCGTCGACGTCCGACGATTTCCGGGATCGTCAGCTATTCCAGTCGGCTTCGTGAGAATCGTGAACCACTCTCGAACACGATTCGCTTGATATTTAGAAACCGACCGCTCGGTTCGATTGTGAGTACCTTGCAGTAAATTATGGAAACCGATCCCCTTTCGATTTGTGCATGCTGCAGAGCTGGACGCTGTGTATGACACGGGAGCTCCACGGGTCCGTTTCTCAAATCCCCCGTGAATTCTTCCAGTGCCATTTACAGAATCCAAGCCCGGTGTTCGTTCTCTGCGTGTCTTCCGTTCGACGAAAGAAGATAAAACACGACCCATAAAAAAAAAAAATCTACGCTGTCCGAAATTTATGCGATATTTTTATAGCCAGATGACCGATTCCATTAGTAGAATTCGACGTGTACGACGAGGTACGTGCGCCTGAAAAATGCGTTTCACGAATCGAGAGACGGGCAAGAAAGAGAGGACAGCGGCGAGGGAACGGATTGTTCGTGGATAATTCAGGGCCAGGGCATTGTCGACTGTTTCTTTCTCTCCTCCTGCCTCTTCCGTCACGGAACAACGATCCTTCCCGGAAGCCGTGTTCGCTGTATCTGCCACGATTCGTTCGCCAAGCGTTCACCAACTGTTCCCGTCCTTCGATTCCACCGATTTCCCATCACTCCTCTACCCCGCGTCGTCGTCGTCGTCGTCTCGCTCGCCTACAGATTTTAACACCTCCGTTACTCGTACAATACGGTTCCTCAATTTCGTTCCCCGATTCGTCAAGCTCCTGAATTTTCCCTCGATCTGTCCACTTCTTCTCATTCTTTTTTCTCTAGTTTCTTTACGTACCGCGATGAATCACGATTTCCCACGGTCGAATGGAGAGCGCCGAGGCCGATAGACAGATAACGCACTGTCACTGCGCTAAACAATCGATTATGAATGGTCCAGGAAGGCACGTTGTGAAATTTATTGCGGGTGTGCTCGATCAAAAGCCTCTCTACGTTTTTCGTCCCATATCTAACTTGTCCGACGTACGAGTAGGCGGAGAGGATCGTTACGCGGCTTAATTTGCAAGTATTAATTCAATCGGAGAGCGGATTCCAGTGATTTATTATAAAGATGGTACGGTCTGGTATGCAAGCGAACCCGGCTGCCGTGTTTTCCCGTCTGGTTCTCACGATTCGAATCTTCTCAGTGCGCCGTAGATAGAGCGGTATGTATGTACATGTATACCTGCGATTCTTCAACGACTATCCGCAGCTCTCTTCAGTTCTCAAGCCGCTCTTCCGGTCATGCTATCATTCCGGTTCTCACGCCTGGGCTCGAACATCGGGACACCGACGTGCCACGGCAAATAATAGTCCGTCCCGGCGATGTCTCTCGAGTTTCGTTCCCCTTCGGCTCCGAACCGTAAGAAAACCACTGGGGAACTCTAGGAGATAATTTTTCTTAATTTCAGAATACGTGTTATCATCTCGAACGCATAAAGGGGAAGCATTGTGCGCGTGTCGCGGAGTAACGTAACCGCTATCGATAATCTCAGACTACGCAACATTCTTTTACTAGTTCTCGCGACGGCAACGGCGGAATGCTGTGCAGATACGATTTACGAGGCCGCAAGTTATAGTTCTACGGTTTTTCAACGGTAAATTATGTCTTCTACAAGGCGTGATTTGTCTCGCCTTGAAACGTTTGTTCTCTAACTTTTATTTATCACCAGATCGCTGTTACTTGTTATAAATAATAATTGTCGGCGACATTTTTGCGAACAGGATCGACGAGGCTACTGCAAGTTTCTTACGGGTCAGTCTGTTTATAATGAAGAACGGTTCCCGTGACTGAAAGCAGGTAAAGGAAAAGCTGTAATAAATACGTATTCGAAACGAGTTATACGTCGGCGTCGAGTAGAAAACTGCCGGTTTCACTTAGTGCCCTTATCTCTTAACCCGCTCCCAAGAGAATATCGCGGCTTTCCGCCGATGTTTTTGCCAGTAAGAAGAATTTTTCGCGGGATTCGACCTCGTCAAACCCGTAATCTCTCTTAACCCACTATTCCTGTTTCCGTTAAACGAAAGAAAGAAATCAGTTTATCCCATTTATCATCCCTAAGAGACGTGGCCTTTGGCTTTCGTGCAAGTGATTAAATATTTATTAATACTAAAAGTTAATAAAAAGCAATAACAACTCCGTTTCGTATCTAAATCTCGCGGTCCGGTCAATCGTCGGTCGCGATTTGTCGCGGGTCGCAGGTTTCACGATCGTTGCTCGGATCGAATCGAACGTAGGTGCAATACATTATTTAAGTGGAAGAGAAAGAGAGAGAAAGAGAGAGAGAGAGAGAGAGAGAGAGAGAGAGAGAGAGAGCGCGTGAAAACAAAAAAGCACACGCACGTCACGACACGATAGGGTACGATAATAACGTGGCGTGGAATATACAGGCGAAGCGTTAGCGTGCATTTTCTTGCCCGTCGCCCCGGTCACGCGTGCTGTTTATTGCATTACACACTCCTGTTGCGTTTCTTTACTGACCTTCGTCAAACTGCCACGTTTTCTTATTCATAGTTATTTTCCGTCGTTTTATTGCGCAATGCTTACAAAACGGCGGGAACGCGAGCGCGATCGAGTCGTACCCCGTGATAGTAGCTAGGTATAATGATCCCGAACGCTAATTCGAAGAGGATGGTGCCTCGCCTTCCGTGTGTAATCTCTGGAATGTCAATGTCGTTGCACCGCGCTCTTATCGAGCGCTACCGATCGTCAAGCGTTATTCGGTGTTGCTGAAATGAGAAAAAAAAAAAAGAGAAGGAGAGACGAGGAGAAAGAAACGCAGGTGGACCTACGGTGGTACCGCGACGACGCAAGCAGAAGAGAGAAGCAACGAGGAAGAAAGAAGGGGGTGAACGATCGAACGGGGAACGCTTGGACGGCATGACGGAAGGATTTCATCGCAATGGGAACGACGATCTAGGGTGAGAAGAAAAATAAAACGATTGGCGTATTAAGAGAACGGAGGGACGCGCGGCTTCGAGACAATAAAATACCGGGCGAGCCTGAAACCGCGGCGTGGATATAAACCCGATGGCTCGCGACTTTCGAAACCATATTAAATCGTGACATAGATTCGCTCTCCGGGAAACCGTGGCCGCCGTCCGCGTTACGTGGGTGAATTCTTGCCGGGTGATAAATCGATAGATCGCTGGTCTCTGCATTCCGGGATACGCTCAGCGTGAAAGCCAACACGCGACGGTATGCAAATACCAGTTATACGTACATATATACGATCGATTTCTTCATTAGTCGCGATGCATCTCGGTGATCGGTCGTAATTAACCCGGCGCGTTGCTTAATCCCTCAAAGGTGAGGCGTACGGAAACTGACGCGTTCCACGTTACTATTGGTTCTCGCGCGGCCGCCCCGACTCGAACGATCTCTCAGAGGTTTCACATGGAACAATAGAGGTACTACAATCGAAAACTCATTTCCCGCGGCGGTAATCCTCTCGAATCTCTCTGTTGCGCAATCTTTTTTAGCGCGGCGTTGTTTTTTCTCGTGGCGAGGTCGGAGCGGAGAAATAACGGTGACCGTACCCGAGGACAGTGACCCGATGAAAATCTTACTTAGGTACACATAAGAAAGAGAAACCGTTGGGAACGTGCCCCCTCGCCCGTACCAGAGCGAAATAGATTTCACCGGCGCGGTACGGCGCGGCGATCGTTGCAATCGATAAAAAGCTCGCGACATTTAACTCGACGCGACGCGGGAACTGGTTAACAATCGTTTCGGAGCAGTAACGGTTTCATGTAAAAATGATTGACGCGATACGGTGGGCGACGACTATCGTAACGTTCTCGTGACGCCGGATTTTAAACATTTTCGGATCAACATCGACCTCCAGATTAAAATGTCCGAGCTGTTGCCGGAGTTGTTCGTTAATCGTAAGATAGTTCGTCGACCCATCCTTATACCTGTAGAAAGATAAATCCCCCGATACCTCCGTAGTTGCGTCGTCGAAAGTGTCGAGGGTGATGCTCGGTACCGATCGCCATTGGTAACGACCTTTTCTACCTTCGGCTCGGTATCTCTCCTTCTCTCACTGTCCGTGGTAGTAAAACCTCCGCTCCGAGAGTAGTCCCGTCAACATTTCACTCTTGGCCAGTCTCAGCAGCATCCGCACAGTATCGAATCTCTTAGCGCGATATTATTCGCGTAGATGATTGCAGAAGTACCGAACGCGATCCCTCGAGTTTAGATCCGGTGTTGATCGAATCAGCGAGTCACCACGAGGCGATATAAGTACATTTTCTTGTCCCCGATGAAAACATCACGCGAATACGAGGAAGCAGCGACAGAGGAACGTGGAGATGTACCGAAAGAAGAGCGGGACAAGGGTGGAACGGGTCGAAGAACAGGAGGAAGAGCGGTCGTTACGTGCGTATATATATAATACGAAGGAAAAAAGGTGGCAGGTTTGAGAGGAAGGCTTTTAAAGTCGGGCGGAGCGCAGCCGGGAGGACTCCGCGAACCGGTTGCTCGAAGTGACGTGAGTGAACTGAGGCTGCAGGCTGGCAGGTAACGCCAGGTAAACTCGAGCCGACCTGCGATACACAGGGAAGAGAAGGAAGGTGGCCGGCTGGGTGGCTACGCCGAGCCAGCCAGCCGTAGAAGACAGTCAGCTCAGTCAGTCGATCTGGGGAGTCAGCCTGCGGCCCCTGCGGCCGCAGGAACGGGCCGTGGATGAGGGACGCGGTGGAGAAAGGTCTGGGCATTACAAACAGGTAGGGAGAACGGGCCTGGAACGAAACGGACAGAGGGGAATGGAAAAGGAGGTGGAAAGGAGAAGACCCGGTGTCGGTGGTGTTGTGTGTGACTCACGACTCACGCCGGTATTTATGGGCGAATAGACCACGGCGAACGCTGTGTACAGTGATGCTCGCTAAGCGAGCATCGGTTTGGCCCCCTTATCATGAATCCTATCACGGACCTACTCAATTTTACGAATTACTAAAAATTTCATTCCTAGCTCGTCTACAACAGTTGGAACGTAGAAAAATACGTAGCTCGTTTTGTGCCGACAGGGATTGAAAATATATACAATGCCATCGCTTTGTATTGGTACAGGGGGATCAAAAAATATGTTTTTCGGTGAAGAGTATATGATGAAACGGCACCGAAGTTTCGGGCACGTGGCGCCGGCTCACTTGATTTTCGGGCAACCTTCTAAATTGCCCTCGTCTTTGCTATTTTCTTTTCTTATTTCTTCGACGTCGTGCGCCGCTCAGAAGGCTCGACGTGGAGAAGTTTATTTTAGAGGTCCATTCGGACTCGTCGCGCGCCGTGTCCGTGTTCCGCCGCGGCTACATCGCGACATAGAAACAGAAGATGTTGGCCCCTCGCGCTAATTGCAACAAGATTCGTGCTACATCAGAAATGTGGTATATTAATAACGCGTTCGATTTACGCGGTACCGATGATTTCACGTGCATCGAACCATAATACGTTGCCGGTCGAACGATTCGTAGTTCGTGGGAACGCATTTCCACGGTTTATTTAACGATGCCTGCCCCGCGCGTTTATGTTCTCAATAAAATGTCGATCGCGTGATTGTGTGCCGGACCCCGTTACAGTTCTACGAGGAAACGGTTCGCTGCGGAATAAAGTCCGGCTAAAGATCGCTGCGTCTTCGATGAACTTTCTCCATTATGGCTTACGCCGCTTGCCGATAAATTCGTTGAACGAAGCAATTTGTCGCGACGATACAAACTGGATCGAAAGAGAATTCGACGCGGTACAATCCGATTCGAAATGTCAGATGAGGAGTCACCCAGTATATTACAAACTAACTATACCTGAACCCAACAGAGCGTGACTTTTCACGTGTACCTGTGCCGGAGTGGGGCATGATCGCAGACCGCCGCCGCGGCGCGCGGCGTACAGCGAAATAGACTGATAGAATTTACACGATGGCTTCGAAAAGCCAAGAACTTTACGCGAGACGCAATCGAACTTTGACAAATTTTTACATTTCTTACCCTTCTAATTTCCTCCTTTATTGTTTATGAATACAAAAGTCGATGTCAATATTTAATTGTAAGATGCGATGCTCTTCCACTGATTCTTTTCTACGTTTGATTAATTCGTTGACATTTGGTTTAACTTCGACAACATTGAAATTAATGATTTCTATCAGACTTTTATCTTATTACTTACTGTTCGTGCTTTATTCGGTTTTGGCCAGTGAAATCTGTGCGGAACGATCACGGGGGTCGATGACACTTTACAGAAGTTCATCCAGAGGCGCGCCTCGGCCAAACTTTGCGGTACTTTTTTAATTAACGTTCGTCGACGATAGTTAACCATCGGCGCGAGGCATGGAGCAACGCGGTACAGTTGCAATTGGTAATTTTCCCGCTCGTTTTTCGGCGGATAGCTCCGCGTCTGGCGCGGCCGCGCGGCATTTTCTTGTTTCCTATGAAGGAGGATTACCATGACCATCGCAGCGCAACTGGTCTATGCGCACGGAGAAATGCAGCTGATGCGCACCGCTGAATCTCGAGGTCAGCGACTCGTCGACGGAGTTAGTGGAGCGCTTAGGCTCGCTCCAGAGATTTTATGAATTGGTGCATGGTAGTCGCGGCGGCGCGGCGAGGCAGAGGAGCGCGAAAAGGAAGCAGCTAGCTGCCCGGTTAGGAAAAGAACGGTGCGGTGCCCCGGCGAGAATTAGAAGATCTTTCCCCTAACGTAATTAGACCAGGCAATCCGAAAAAAGGAAAAAAATCTGTTCGATAACCGGCACCCAACAAGAAACGCAAGAAAGTTCATGCAAAGAGATCGTGACAGCCCGCGGTCTGACTCTTC